ACATTGCAGACATTGCAAACATTGGAGGAATCATATCCGCACGATAGAAATCTTGTGACTTGCATTACAGCGAAAGAGAAGATAGCAAATTCTACGTCTTGCATCGTACTCCCCGCCGAACCTAACTTTACATATTTTTGTTACAAATCAAGAACAATCCAACTACAATTCAAATACCTGGTTTTCCGACCCAAACCCGAGTCCGTCCTCATTTTGAATTTTAAGGATCGCACATAGGCGTAGGTTAGGTACATTACCGAAAGCAAAGAATCGCCAACTAAAACATCGCCATTTCGGCAGCTTCCCGCTATTCGCCATCCTATTGCTTGCCCTGCCTGCACTGGTTATATTCTGACCTTTTAAAAAAAGAGCGGATCTGACCAATTCCCGGACGGCACCTGTTTCTGCAGCTTCTGCAGCTTCTGCATTTAAGTTCGTTTGGTTCGAAATTGAAACAACCCGTGGGCTTGGAACCAGTGGCGCTTCCGAGAGTTTTTATTTTTGTCTCGCATAGGAAAGACAAAGACACGAGACACGGAGAGTGGAAGTGTGGAAAGTGGAAAGTGGAAAAAAAAAAGCCTAAGTTGCATATTGGGTGTGACATCCAGTAACCAAAAAATGTCTACTATCCAGCAGCTTAAGAATTTCATCCGCCATGGTACGCCCCTCCGTTGTCCACCCCTCTATCGTTCCTTGCTCTGCCTATCTTGTCTACCACACATTTCCTTCGGTGTGTTTTGTTTATTCTCTCTCACACAAACGAATAATTATCCCATTCGTTTTTTCGACTTGCAACTCATTCATTTTTGTTTATTTCGTGACCATCTTTTTTAAAATTCCTTATTTGGTCCACACTTCCTTATATCTTGGTCGACTTTACGGCGATTTACAACAACCGCATTTTATAGTACATGTCTCGCTGATATCATATTTCTCGAACAGGCAAACAGGCTAGGGTAACCAACTACGAAGAACCCTCGCGGAAACATGAATATTCTCCCCCGCAACCTGCGCAACAAAAAGCCATGGGGCACGTAAGCGAGCCCGGACACACGGCCGGCAACGGCCATCGGAACAACGTCCCTGAAGCGTACTCCGCTCAGCCCGGTGATATACAGAACCCAAACCGTGTCGCACAAGCCGAGGCCGTAGCTGCCCACCATGCCGAGGCCAACCAGAACGTCTCCCGCACGCATTCGAATAAGAGCAAAAGCAGAGTAGATGATACCCACGCCGCTAAGATCGTACAAGAGGAAAACGAGAATAGGAATAAGTTTCCCAGGTATCCCGGCCTGGAGAGGTGGGAGCTGCTTGAGAAGATGGGAGACGGGGCGTTCAGCAATGTCTACCGAGCAAAAGACCTCAAGGAAAATGCTGGTGAGGTTGCCATCAAGGTAGTCCGAAAATATGAAATGAACAACATGCAGGTGAGTTTCTCTGGCGGTTGAGTTTGCGTCGTCAACCTAGTCGTTTCCTCTTTCAGGTTGCAACTTGCGTTTCCATTTCCCGCAAATTTGAATGTTTCATGTACCAACTATTGGGGGTCGAATTATAGGGCCAAAAGCATTTACATCCGGATTTCAAGAAGGTTCCGAAGGCAGCAGAGGTGCGGAGATATTCTTTTTCTTTTGTCCAACTTAACAGATATGCCCTCTGGCTACCTCTAATCCGTCTTCTTACATTCATGGCGTTTCTATACGTTTTGATTATCTCTCTTCCATCTATCTCTCGTCTATCGTATCATATTCTACAAAATCTAAATTAGGAACCGGTAAAGCTAATGATCTACCACAGCGAGCAAATATATTAAAGGAAGTTCAAATCATGCGCCAGTTGGACCACCCTAATATCATCAAACTCGTCGACTTTTCAGAGTCGAAGCAATATTATTATATAATCTTGGAGCTGGCACCTGGTGGGGAGTTATTCCACCAGATTGTGCGACTCACCTATTTCAGTGAAGATCTCTCAAGACACGTTATCGTGCAAGTCGCAAAAGCCCTCGAATACCTTCACGAGGAGAAGGGTGTTGTACATCGGTAAGTAAACAACATGGAGTCGATCGACCATGAGCCTCAAACCCACTTCGTGATAGCACGACTCAGTTACTCCGTCTAAGGGTGCATTGAGGCGGCTAAATCAGGTGGCGGTGACGTCACTAGGCATCTTAATCTTTGGCCCCTGCATCAACCAGCTGACATGTGAGATAATAGTGACATCAAACCTGAAAACATCTTATTCAGTCCGATACCTGTTGTCCCATCGAAAAAACCCACGCCAAAACAACCTGGCGATGAAGATAAAGTGGATGAAGGCGAATTCGTCAAGGGAGTCGGAGCAGGAGGAATCGGCCAAATCAAGATCGCTGATTTCGGTCTATCGAAGATTGTATGGGATGACCAAACCATGACGCCATGTGGCACTGTTGGTTATACAGCCCCTGAGATAGTTAAGGATGAGCGTTACTCCAAGTCGGTGGATATGTGGGCCCTCGGCTGCGTATTATATACATTATTATGCGGCTTTCCACCATTCTACGACGAAAGCATCGAGGTTCTTACGGAAAAGGTTGCTAAGGGGCAATATACTTTCCTATCACCGTGGTGGGACGAAATCTCTAAATCTGCCCAAGATTTAATCACGCATCTTCTTTGCGTTGACCCTGACGAGCGGTATACGATCAGAGAATTTTTGAGCCATCCGTGGATACAGGGATCCGGACCTACGCCTCGCGAAGAAAAGAAGGCGACCCCAGAAGTCTTACGCGCATTCGATGCCGGAAGACTCATCGATGGCGAGCGCCGCATGGACTTCAGGTCTCCAGGTGCAGTAAACCTCCGAGAGATTTTCGATGTCGGATACTCAGTACATCGGCAAGAAGAGGAGGCCAAGCGGAGGAAGCAGATCGGCGCCAAGGGTGCTGCACCGCCGTCGCGATTGGCTGGTCTTAACGAAGATTCGGAGGAGGAGAAATCAGACCCAGAATATGTGCATAAGGCCGAGTCACAATCACTTGAGCAAAGCATGCGTAAGACGCATATTGGCAAGGAGCAAGAGCGTGGCCGACAGCAGGAACGACAATCCGATAGAGAACAAAAAGGATATGGTCAACACAGCGCTGCTGTCGCGCAAGCCGCTCGGCAGCAGGTTCGTGATCGAAATAAGCAGCGAGGAGCTTTCGAACTCAATCTGGATGGGGCGACGTTACTTGGTAGACGAGCCGGAAAACCTGCAACCGCTAGCGTTGGCGGCTTATAGGACAAGACAGCTGACAAGCAGGAAGTTGATACTGGGGAGAGACATGATCACGACAGTTGTTGGCATTGACTTATTGATTCTACGATCATCTGGGCCGAGTTTCTGAGACAAGCGTGGAGAACGGATTTCGGAGGCATCGAGGCATGTGATATTGGTTTGAATGAACAATACGGGGAGTTCTTGTGGCTTTTTGTCTTTTTGCAACATTGATCCGAAGCGCTTCACACATAGGACTAGGCGTTCCCGGAATCGAGATACATATTTCGCCCTTTTCAATTGATGGTGTTTTGAAGTGAATTAAATTAAGTTGTCCCTACATTCTTCGTGATGATGAATTTGGCCTGGCTGTTTTCGGTATTGGTTTTCCAATCTTACATCTTGCTGTAGCTGTCTCCCTTGGTAGTATATTGGCGGCGTATCGCCGTCCCCAGCCCTTCTTGATTAAATTTGAGACACTGCGGCCCTGTAGTGAGTGTCGACTGCAACCAAATTCGGTATTTAGTCCCTGAATTGCTCGGTCTGCCCTCGCTAGGGATCACCAGGAACTGGAATCATTTTTACTAATTGAGTAACTTATGGGAATTCTATAGTCTAATGTGAACTATATAAGAAGCTGTCGATCATCCGTTATTTTCAGTTCTCAGTCTATAGGATTACATGCCCATCCGCTTTAGCTCATGCGTTCTTCTGCGACAGGGCATTTAATAAGTAATACACGATCGTATGGGCGATTATATTCTACATTATCATATAATATCTAATCCTGTTTACTCACTCTCTACTATCTTCTCTAAATCTCCTCTTAGTTTTCTATACACACACCTACATATCCCCAGTGTACTTACAAAGCTACGAGACCTCTATTAAACTATTTAACCTATCCGACAACATTAATCTATAAATATAATCAACAAAACGACACTATGGCGAGCTCCCTGGCGCAATTAGGGGTCCAGTACATGCCGTCAACTGGAGGCTGTATGCTGGACTTGGCGGCCATACCCTCCCACCTATTCAACTCTTGCAGCGCTGTTCACATCCGCATCCCGGAAGCTCAACACCACGTCGAGGTTAACTCGAACATGATCTGCATTAAGCCCAGCCAGCCGGCTCCGGGCTTGGGTGCTGCTATCTATCGTGAACAGTACATGTATCCGAACGTGGTGGTACCAACAGATCTTCCTCACGCATCCCCGAAGAACCACAAGCAACAGTCGCCTTCATCCAACGCCCCAGAAACCCCCATACATCGCCCCGTACCAGAGCCGGATAACAATAAACCCGCGAGCGCTAATACGCCGAATAATTCATACAAGGACTCGGCGCCGAGTTTACGGACGTCTGTAAAGACGACACCTTGGTCTACTTTAACTACTACAAATACCGCTTCGCCATCTTCTCAGGTTACGCATATTTTACAATCACCAATTATAACAACTACTTCCTGCACTACCCACCTCCACACCCCCGGGCCTTCAACAACAACGCCCGTAGTCCACGCCCCCACGCCATCGACACTAACCACACGGACCCTACTCCCATCACCACCACCATCATCATCCCAAGATCCCCCCGCCACCACCTCCCAACCAGTCCGCCCCGCCGTCATACCCCCACCATTCCCCCTTCCGGAACCCGAACCCATTCCGGAAGCAGGCCCGGACCCAACCCCAATCCCGATCCCGGATCCGGAACTCAACAACAACAATATCCCCGACTACTGCAGCGACACGTACTACAAGATGGACATCACGCACATCGATACCCTCGACCCGCACGACCTCGACGCGTACCTCAACCTCCTGGGCCTCAACGACGACGACCTCGGCCCAGACCTGGACCTCGAGCACGGGATCGCGGGGCTGGTGTCGTCGCTTCTCGGCGCCGCCGTCGACGACGACGCGACGCGCGGCGTTTGGAGGGAGTTGGAGCGGTCGTATCGTGTGGAGTGTGGGGTTTCGGTGCAGGAGCTGTGGAGTAGCAGCAGTAGTAGCAGTAGTAGTTGGAGCAGTAGTAGTGGTGGTGAGGGACACATGGAATTCATACGGTCCATGGGCTCGCAGACGCAGTGCGTGCAGGAGTGCGAGAGAAACGCTATCGGGGCCGCGCGGGACGGGCGCGTCGCCGAGTGCTTGGGCGCGGCGTGGAGTTGGCGGCTGCAGAGGGATAATTGTCGGTTTTGGACGGGGGGGAGGGATGAGTTTTTGCCGGTGGAGAGGTTGAAAGGGGGGGAAACGGGGGAGTGGGATTTGGTGTATTTGTGAGGGGATGGGTTGGATGTGCGATGGTGTGGTGTGGTTTAGGTTGTTTATGTATTGGGAGAAGCGTGGTGTTTTGGTACAATGATTTCAATATGCTTTTATAAAGCTGGGCTCCGATGAAGGCTTGTAGAATATTAATCGTAGTACTATCTTACTTGCTGTACTAAAGGGAGTAATGTTTCTCGAGGATTTAATGGAGTGATAAGTCTTACTTAGAGTCAATAACAGGAGCTATGCTCGACTTATGAATTCTAAAGATCTTTATTATAAGGAATCTTCGAGTTTTCACCTTCCCTAGCCTCTACAATACCTCCTGTATGCTACTGGTATTATACGGTAGACAAACCCCCAACCCAGAGATATCCACCCACCCACCCAGCCATTTAACCATGCGTCGGCGGCGGGCTAGCCACAGCCCAAAAGTCAAAGTCCGGGTTATCATACCCGCCGCCCTCCTTCCAGGTCGACGCGTACGGCGCATAATGATCCCAGTTCGACGACGTGTTCAGCCCGAGCTCGGCCCAGACGAACAGCCCGTCTTCCAGCTTGTTGCTCAGCGAGATGTAGTTCGGGAACGGGTCGTACTCGGACGTGGCGGCGTACCCGGTAAACCAGTCCTCGAGGTTGCTCGTGTGCGGGATGGGGTTGGTGTTGTACGGCGCGGTGGCCTCGATGGTGTCGCGCAGCGTCTGGTCGAAGAACAGCTGCGACAGGTGCGCTACGCGGCCCCCCGTGTACGTCCCGTTGGGCAGGACCTCGGAACCGACGTGCGCGATTAGGTGCTGGTGCGTGGCGCGTCCTTGGTAGTGGCCCGGGAATATGGTGTCGAAGTTGACGACGCCGTCGCCGTCGACCGGCTGCACGCCGCGCAGGTACGTGGTCCCGAGCCCGCCCTCGCCTTTCGCGCTGACGCCGCTGTACGCGCCCGTCGCGTTGCACGACCACGTGTCGATCAGCACGCCGACGACCGGCTCGCAGGTCTGCACGTCGATGAATTGCAGCTCCAGGTGCATGGGCACGCCCACCGTGTCTTCTACTACGTCGGTGCGGATGTGCTCCTGGTACACGAAGTACGGCCCGTTGGCGTTGTCCGGGGTCAGCACGCAGCTGGTGTTGGCGCCGAAGATGTCTTTGCTGGGGGTCTCCTTGGTGAAGTCTAGTGTTCCGGTCTTGTTGTGCGATAGAGCGGCCCATTTCTCAAATGCCGCGGCGTCTCGGCGGTGGAGCCATGGTGCTGTGGTTAAGGGGTTAGTTGGGGTGAGTGAGTCGGGTATAGGGGGGAGGGGGGAGGGGGGGAATGCTGCGGGAAGTGTTCTTACCCTTTTCAATACCCTTATCACGACGAAGCTGTGCGAATTTCTCTGCTCGTCGAGCGACTGGGGTAATTCGAGTCAGCATGTGTTGCCTCTTTAGGGAAGGGGTAGATGAATTCTGTTCTCTGAACTACGGTTTCGAAAAGATAAAGGGGTTACATATACACGACAGTATAAAATGTCGAATAGGGTTTCCAGAGGATACATACTGGCACGCTCCTTGCGAGCTTTCACCGCAGGCGAGTTCTGACACGCCTCAAGAGCCCTCGTGTTCATCTTGTTGACGACGTGAGCATTACCCATCTCCTCCAGGGCCTCTCGCTTTCCGTACTTCTCTCCCGGGTGTCCGAAGACCGCCATAGGGGTCAACGACAAGGCCACGGCCAGAGTAGCCGCGATCGAGGGTACGAACACCATTGTGAACCTGATTTTCTTCGAGGTGAGCTTGACAGAATCGGAGTACGGAGAAGAAACCCAGGGCTCCCTACAAGCAGAATAAAGGGGCCGATCCCCCCTTTTTAGCCAGCAACCCCTAAAGCACGAAGCTCTTCAACGGGACATGCTGAGTTTGCCAGCGTTATTTGGTATTTCTCCATTAAGACCGCCAAGAATCGCCATCACGGCAGACATAGTCAACCAAGGCAGCGACGCCGGCAGTAGGACGTCAAAAGAAGGGTCCAATCTAGTAAGGGGGGAATATGAATCGAGCTATAAGACCCCGCAAAAAAAAAAAAAAAGCCTCGTCGACGGCTCTAGTTCTCCCTGGGTCTTGAAGAAGCAAAAAGCGGTTTTGCGCCATCCAGTATTTATTTTTTTTAATGTTGGCCCTCTTTATCCGGTCTTGGACGCCGTGTGCTCTGTCAGATGAAATAGGTAATTGGGCGACGATCTCCTGCCGAACCGACTCTAGGCAGACAGGGGGAAGAGGCTGAGCTCGAAAATTCCCAGACTTTTTTTTTTTTTGAATGAGGCTAAATCTACCGCATTTCAAAAGTGAATCCCTTGATAGGTCCATCTGCACCCCGGACTCGTCTATGTATACCCCAGATATTGCCCTCGCTTCAAGTCCCGTCTTCGACCGCCAATTGGCACGCGTGGATTATATTAAGCTTCACATGCCTGGCTCGCCCGCGAATTACGACGGTCTTCCATTGGACGGATCCCGGGGTCGTGGTATGGCGGGTAGGACGAGGCAAATGCCGCATTCGCGAGAACGGGTGTCGGCATCGAGTCACGTTTTATCTATGCGTCCTCTGCCGACTTTCTAGGATATATCATTTGCCTGTAAACCTACCTAACCCATATCTCGTGGTGGTCGGCTCGTTCTTGGCTCTATATCATTTGAGAAATTGATCTTCATCTAATTTTCGAAATCTGCCCAAACATATATAACCAGCACATTGCCATAATCACGACGCTTCCATCAGGCTAAATATGCTGTGTTTTGTTAACGCAATGATAATCTACCTTTAGACGGCTTAAGTTCAATCGACTTTATTACGACTCAACCATGAGTCCTTTTTTATGGTGTCCATTCTAGAGCTGTTATAGCCGCGGATATAGTGGGCTGATTATGGGTTCGGTAAGGTTTTAATTATACGGTATACCCAAGTAGGTAGGTATACATACATTCAAGTTACACTAACCTCATAAGGAAATGCTCAGTGTTATTATACTAATCGAGTCAAAATTTAGGGCTGAATTAAGCTTATCAGGCAAAAGGAGACGGTAATCTTTATTTCGAAAAGCCAAGAGTTATATTACTACTACCTATTCGAAAGTGGTCTCCACTACTGGAACCGCATGTTTACACATGATGAGTGCTTTAGAACTAACCCCGATATCCAAAGCGTTGAGAACTACTCAGCAAAGCCATAACTATCAATGCGAGATGATTAAGCCCCCTTATTTGTCGTCCTTGCCCACAATTATGTTAGGTGGATCGATAATTTAAGCGCCGTTACCGTTGTAGATGACGGCGTTGACAGTGCCGCTGGGGATACCAGACAGCTTGCCGCTGGTGTAGAGAGCCTTGATGCGGCTGGTGACGGCGGCGGGGGTGGTGAGACCCTCAAGGGCAATCAGGTACAGAGAAAGACCAGTCACGTGGGGAGTGGCCATCGAAGTACCAGAGATGGTGTTAGTGGCAGTGTTTCCGCCGATCCACGAGGAGAGAACGTCAGTGCCAGGAGCGAAAACATCGACAACAGATCCGTAGTTGGAGTAGGTAGCAATTCTCCAGGAAGAGTCGATAGCACCGACAGTGATGGCGTTGGCAGCCGAAGCGGGCGAGGTATTGCCAGCGTCGGTAGCGCTGTTACCGGCGGCGACGACAGACAGGATACCAGCGCTGTAAGCAGAGTTGACAGCGTTGTTGAATGCGGAAGAGAAACCACCACCTAGGGACAGGCTGATAGCGGACTTGCTCTCGCGACCGTTGCTGGTGATGTCGTTGACAGCCCAGCTGTATCCGTCTAAGATGATCGAAGTGGAGCTGCTAGTTCCCTGGAAGACCTTGACGGAGAAGATGGTAGCTTGTTTAGCAACACCATAAGTCGATCCACCAATTGTACCTGCTACATGGGTACCGTGGCCCACAGCGTCAGCATCGCTGCCACCGACGGCGTTGTAAGCGAGCGAAGCACGGCCGCCGAATTGCTGGTGTGTAGCGAGGATACCAGTGTCGATAATGTAGGCAAAGGTGCCCTGGCCGGCGCTGCTGTCGTAGATGTACGAAGTAGAGCCGGAGGTTTGGTGGGAGACGGTACCAAGACCCCAGGTAGAGCCGGTCTGGGTAGTGAGAGCTCGCTTGGAAGCCTCAGGGGATTCGTCAAAGAGGTAGTAGACCTGGTCCTCCTCAATCTCGGCGACCTGATATAAGTGTCAGCATATCTGCAACCGGATATATGGTCTGAGGCGCCAAGCGCGCGCTAAAGTGGAATGCCAGGGACGACACAACTGTCTCCTTTTCTGATATTTTTCTAGACCTGCTGCTGCTGCATTCGGAGTAGAAGAGAATGCTATTCAACTTACATCGGGGTGGCTCTTGATCTGCTCGATGGTCTCGGCGTCGAATTCACCGGCGTAGGCGTTGAACTTGGCGATCTGGTACTCGCGCTCAACACCGACGGTGTCGCGCTTGTTCAAGCTGCGGGCATGGACACTGCGGGCCCAGTTGACGTGAGACTTGAAGTCATCAGAGGTAACGCCCTCCTTGAGGGTAACGATGTACTTGTTGGGGATGATTTCTCCCTTCTGCTGAGTAGCAGGAGTGGGAGCAGCAACAGCCGCAGGGAGCAGAGCTCCGAGGAAGAGCGCGAGGCGGCGAACGTTAAACATTATGGACGATCTGTGTAGTTGATGAGAAGACTGTTGCTTGTGGCTCGGGGCTGTTGAACTTCTCTAAAATCTACTGGACGGGAGGGATCAGGGCGGCTTATATAGACATTTCTGAAGCCTCTTCGAACCCCCAAATCCGCCATCGATGGTGACATATTGTATGCTTCATTACGAGATGGTCCGATGAGGTTCTCGAGGTAGGCAGACTATCATCGAGCTTCCCGATCAACCTTAGGAGCCAGACTAGAGCGCTTAAGAGACGTGGATGAGAGTCACGACGCGATTCAGAATACGGAAGGAGGAATAGGAAACGCATGCGGGCAAAGTCATAAAGCACATGTAAGTGGTGGCTGGAGATTATTAAGAAGCTATACTCCGCGGTTACGATTCGACTCATCGCTCAATAATAGAATGTAGGAGAAGGCCGAACAGGTAGGAAATCACTTGGCAATGTAACTTCGATGTCGAATGGTGAAGCTGAAAGCAAACCAGCAGGCGAAATATTGCGGGACAAGATGCAAGCGAGGCCAGCGGCATTCATAGTTAGACCGAGGTGCGGTTGCTCTGAAGTTATGCGATGGTGTGATAGACATGGACCTCCCGCAATATCGCTACATCGCTCCAGAAGACGTCAGCCGCATAACCGTGCCGGATCGGCAGGGACCTGCGTGCTTCCCCGGTGCTCTGTTTAAGCTAGCCCTATACCGGCTATGTTAGGTAAAGATCACCTAGAAATAGTATCTCGCTGAGGCTCACGCCGGTAGAATATAGAATGATCTGCGCTGTTACAGGTCGGAAATTAACCGCGAGGCATGACATAGAGCGCTCTGCGATTTGGAAGTTCAGCACGGCACCGGCACCAAGCCCCTAAGTTCTGAAGGATTGGGTCTCTCAACCTTGGTTCTTGGAGGTTTGTAAAGCTGCCTGGGCGACCTGGGCCTTGGGTAGCATCAGATAAGGAGACCAGAATCAATATTACGAACGACGTATAGTCAAGCCGTCAAGTAAGACGCTCATCCAATGAGCAGCTATGAACCACGCGCTCAAGGTCTTATCAGGACAGGGCGGGGCTGAGATGGGATGCCAACTCAATCTTGGCAATATAATCTTGGAGGAAGACCAACCTCTGACCAAGCTCGTAAAAAGCAGCTACTAGGGTAGTGCCGGCAAACAGCTTGGACGGCGAGGATAGCTCGGGAGTTGGAGCTAGGATACTAGGGATAGCAGGCATAGCAGGAATAGTACGATCGGAGATTTTGGTCTGTTAGACATATCTGAGTGATCTGAGAGCGCCAAGGCTGAGCGGGCGCGGACGGGGTCTATGCTACCCTCTTATAAATGGAGCGATGTAACGCGGGCCAGGCTTGTCTGAACTTCAGAGCTTCCGCTTTCGTAATGCGACCCCCGGCAGAGACGCATCACGTTCATCACGACAGAATGGCGCGAATAGGTGAGGCCTGTTACCTTACGGTCTACCCATGATGACATCGTGACACATGAGGATTGCGACAGCGTGGGAGACCGTGCATGGCAGAGGTGCTTATAAGTTCTTAGGGAGTTTTCTCGTAATGAAAACCATTGTCTTCCCCGGTCCTCAGGGTTCGCAGCACCGATGCGATGCCACATCAGTCGGAAATGCCGGTCTTGTAAACTAGGACTACCGATTCTGCTAACGCCGGGGTGGAGCCGGGCACGCGACTCTGCTTGTAATTTGTTGCTTACATCTAGCTTACTTTTGATGAGGATATAAACATGGTGTAATCAAGACATACGATGGTGAAAGTTGAATAGTAAGAAAAAGTTTGGACGAAAAGGTCAGACGAATACATTTGTTGGTGCTACTTAATTTACGTTTGCAAACACGTGCTGATTTTAATCAATATCTATTATCTAACCGGTAGGTCGATATACTCTTTATATACATTTATTTGGACATGTGAAGGAAGAACTTCGGAATTTAAATTATTTGCAGTTAAGAGTTAATATCTACCAAAGACATACTCCTCCTATTTGACAATTGTGATGGGGGCCAATGCCGTCCTACCGCACCGGCATTATTATCGGACCCGTAGATGCTGCTCAGGCCAAAATCGAACCATAATGCAATACGACCAATTATTTCTTGAGCCTTTATATAGACGGCTTTCCTCGACGATAAGAATATTTGGTTTTAGAGATATCTAGCGCAAGAATCCGGAGTAACTGCCGTCATTGGTAGAGTTAACGCGGCCCCCCACAATTGCCGAACCCAGGATCTCCAATATGCCCTCATCTTAAATACAATTAACACGTGACATTGACTACAGTTTTAATACAAAGCTATCAATTCGAACTTCAGAGTATTCTTTGAAAATGTTTCGTGAATATCGACTCGACGTCCATAGCTAGAGATTCCCCTGGATTATCATTGTGTTGGTAACAGGCCCAATAGTTAGGTTGTCCTAGCAGGTCGTAGGCATGTCGCCTTGTAATATCAATTTCGAAACATGGGGCGGCGACATCAGTGCAGCTCATTCGTTAATCAATATATCGAAGGATTCATGCAGTACACTAACGGCGTAACACAGATTTCTCTATATAGGCAGGCTTGAAGGGGCAGCCGGTTTTGAGCGGAAATCTCCCAGCCCCTTTAAATTAGAAATGTATAACCTGAAAAAAAGGAATATCTGTTATCATGTTCCTAAATATGAGCCAAGTAAGTTGTTGGTTGAACTTGAAAGGCTCTAACTAATTATATATAGTCTTCATTTTATAGCTACTCAATTTAGATAACATAATACGCCTGAATACCTACTTAACGTATATACATGTTTGGGTAGCTATTATGCATACAGATCCTAGGCGGAACATCATGGCTTAAAATATTGTTGTGGAACAATGCCACATATGTACTTGGCGAGAATTAATATTGTCCTTGAAATTCTGTAATACCAACTTAAAAAAACATAAATTCCATCTTCCCGGCCACTTGTTGGCATTTGAAATTCTTTTGGCATGATTCATTAAATCCCCAAAGGGGCTTAAATCATGGAGAGTGAGTTAGCCTCCATCGCGAATTACATTAAGCAATAACCCTTAATTAATTCGTAATCTTTAACTTAGACGACGAATGCTATGGCGATTTCCATATTTCCAGCCAAGAAGATATCAATAATCTGAACTGTTTCTGCGAGACTCTATTTCATAATCGTCAAATTTACATTACGAACTTCACCGGCGAGCTTGATTATCCACATTGTTCGGAAGTAGAAGTTATCGATATCCGTGATAGTCCTGGACTGAAAAAATTAAGCTTCCCTGACCTGAATCACATACGCAGACTCGTAATACAGAATGCTACGGAGCTCGAAAATATCTCAATACCACATCTGACTTTATACTCTACATTATATGATTATCCCTATTTCATATTGCCCGGTGCACCGAATTTGAAAAATATCACCTTTGGAAACGTCACTCAATTCGCAGAACTCCATCTAACCAGCCGAGACATATATGAATATTCATTTTCCAATATAACCTCAGTTACCGATCTGGTGGTTTGCGATACCACCGACTTCGAAAACCTCCAATATGTGGAGAACTTGCAACTTACAGGAAATTATGCTGAGGACTGGCAAATATTCTCGAGCATAACATCACTCCAAAACCTGACACTTACCGACATCGGAGGAGACACATACTTTATGAACGATTTGCAAATTAATGATTCTCTAATAATTGAGAATTGTCAGAATGACACCCCTGACTATGTACCTATCTATGCTACTACGACTATATATTCAATTGGAAATAATTTACAGGCACGCAACAATTCAGGTAGGGAATTAGATTTTCGCCAATTGACAACTGTGACTGGAGATATCTCCATTTACAAAAACACGGATTGCACATTCAACTTTAACCAACTTTCGGATGTTGCAACATTATCCTTAGTCGACAATGTTAATACCACCATACCTTGGTTTCCCTGGCTACAGAGAGCTAGCAATATTTACATCCGAGGGTATATTGATACGTATGTGCTTTATTTTATCACCTATCAAATGCATTGCTAAAGCGTGTTTAGTTCTCCCGGCCCTAACATCTTCCCAGTTTTGACAGCAGTGTCGGGAAACGTCACTATAGAAGCGTGGAACGACGACTTCAACTGTTCAAAGTTGGTAGACCAATATCAAAACAATATCATCCACTACCTGGCATGTAATGGGACTAACAACGGAACTGGATCTAATACGGACAATGCTTCGCCAGAGTTGTCTCAAGGAACATGGGCTGGCATCGGAGTAGGCATAGGAGTATTTGTCATAGGCACTGTCTTCGGCCTGGTCTTGCTTCTTCTACGTCTCAAACGTTGGAAAAAGGATCTCATTGAAAGAATAAGGCAACAAGAGGCCCAGCAAGAACATCGCAGGGACAGCTTAGAGATGGACCAAGAACCGCCGAATCTAAACCTCCTATTGGAAAGTGACGGTACTGGTATTATCCGGGAAAAGCCCGACGACCACCTTCGCGAGGCTGGTGATACCGCGATCATTGCTGAGCATCCAGATGATCACATACGCGAACTACCAGTACCACCAGCAGAGCTGGAAGGGATGCCAGACACGGAGAGGAGGACATGAAAGATGGAAGTAGGGGGTAATAGGGGAATATATCACGAGAATGAATTCTACTAAGAACATACGGTACGAAAGCATGAGCGGTTTTCTTCTATTTCCTTAGTCGGCGTATGCGTTAGGTTTTTGCCTTGCTTAAATATAATCGTACTAGGTCATTTTATATACATGCATAATAGCGAGAAATAGGACCGCAAACACGAACGAGATATATTCCAACATAGGTATGTTGATCTAGCTTATAAACTGTATGTGCAATCACGTCACGAATTGAAAAATGATAGTTTGCAGAAGAGTAAATCTATAAACGCCTGTCCCTATGCTAAGCTACATGCGACCGAACCCTCCATTTATACATGCTAAAAGGCTTCCACGTGGTAATCACCACCAGGATTGCCGAACCACCTGGGTCATAAAACCGCCTGGGCTGTCGAACCAACCGCCCGGGCTATGTAAATCCTATCGCTGATAGGTCGTCATATATACACGTTCCTAACAAGATGCCTGAACCCGCAAGCCACCCCCTAACTCTCAGCTCTACCACCAAGCTCGAGAACCAATGCCTCGATCTCAGCGCCTTGCTTATTTCCAGTTGCACTGGACGAAGGAGCCCTTGTTCTTGGCGCCGGTGTGGGTCATCAAGCCGCAGAAGGTAACGTCGACCTTGCCGGTCTTCTTGTTCTTGGCGGAGACGTTGACGACGACGCGGTCTGTGCCTGGGTCGTCGGGGGTGGCGCCGGTGTAGACCTTCTTGTTCTGGAGGATGGGGAACTCGTAGAGCGGGCCCTTGCACTTGCGCTCGAAGTTCTTAATCTCCTTGCCGCGGTTGTGGAAGACGTGCGGGTACTTGCCCTTGCCGATCTTCTTGTTGCGCGTCTCCAGCTTGCCGGCCTGCTCGCCCGCGTCGTGCATCCGCGCCGTGGTGTACGTCGTCTTCGCGCAGGTCGCGCTGCGCGGGAACCCGTGGTAGGTGAACTTGGGACGGACGGCGCGGTCCTCGAGGGACCGGTCGTCGAGTATAGCCTCGATCTCCCGGATGTCGATGGTGTCTTCTAGATCGCCGATCTCGACGACGTCCTCGACTGGGACGACTAGAGAGGTCCCTAGGGAGAGGAAAAGAGCGGTGGTAAGGAATGTAATTGGCTTCATTGTGAAGACTTTTTGAAATGAATGTAATGTTTAGAAATGATTGACAGATGCCTTTGAGTGTTTGGCTGTTGGTTGATGATTATGTTTATGTTAAGGGAGGACGATGTGTTACCTTTATATATTATACATGTCGAATAGTTCGAATAGTCCAGTTACTTCACCTTCGTCTTTGAGCCTCCTAGAATCATACTACCAACATCCACCTGGAAGATATTCCATTCGGCTCGGCATTGTCACCAAAATAGAATGATAAGTTATGATTGGATCGATGATTGATGATAATCCTATGCCAATGTGTATAACCGGGGGCATATGTTTGCATATTATTAAAGTTGGCTTATACCGTTTCACTATTCACTATTTGCTGATGTCATTAATACCAATAGAAAATATATAGACCTTGTAGAGATGAACGAAAATAGGTATTAGGTAGCATAATGCGATGGGTTTAAGCTGTAGATGGAAGTTGGGAATTTCCGTAAGGCTTAACGATGGCGTTTGTTGGCATAAACGGAAGGAGCTTAATTGACTTTTCCAATATATTACAAACTTCAAATATTTCTTGTAAACCGTTTGTTTCCAGCTTATTTTCAGCTTGCCTAAACCTAAAGCTCGCCTAGCGCGCTAAAGGATCAGGAGGCTCAGCTGTGTACCCACACGATTTAAGCTTGGCGCATGCCCTTTTACGTTAGAATGCTCTTTTGTTAATAAGGTTTAAACACCGTACGGCGGACCATTATGACATTAGTGCCAAAATCAAGAAAATAGGTCAGATCTGTCCAAAAAAGGCTAGTATGAAAGGTGTACAGTATACTATGCGGGGTATATACAAGGTAAAATATATATTTTTTACTGAAAGGTATATTAATTAGTAATCTTGTAAGTATTATTGGTATAAATTGAAATAAAATATTAGTATTTTATTTAAAATATAATGAAAATTATTAAAATAGTCTTATAATATTCCTGATTTATTTCGTAAAGATAATGTGTAGTATAAAAGGAGGGCTAATTATGTGTACGGGTGGTCATAAAGGGTATCACGTGCCATATAAGACTTATTTGATATTGGTATAACACGCTATACAATACGCCAGCCAAAAGATATATAGATGCAACTTGTATTATTATTTTCGCATTAATTAAGGCTATAAAATAATATCAATTATATTTTTTGAAATTGTATATTGGTAAAGTTATTTGAATACGTGTAAGTGTTGTTATTGAATTTGGATATTTTAAGGCTAAAGTAAAGGCCATATCTGATTGGCTATTCGACTTTTGGCTAGCTTTATAGCCTTTTTAATAACACTACCAATCTTAGGTCAAATTACATGCAATCTAGATTATAATTTTTATCCTTTTTCAATCAAAATATTGATAGTTTTTGAAAAATATTTGGATAGATATTCGTAAAGTTATTGTGGTATAAGGTTAAAGGGGGTGTTAGTTGTGTATACAGCGCATATTAATTGAGCTTACACTGTATTTTTGCCTTACTATTACCTTATTAGACATAGTGCCACCTATTTTCTTGATTTTGGCACTAATGTCATAATAGTCCACCGTACACCGCCCTATTGTTAGTTGATATGAAGCTCCTCTAATCTAGAATCCTACAAATCCTCCCTTTCCTAGTATTGCGGCACCTGAGACCTAGCGGGCAATCTGGTGTATTACAAGTATTGCAGATTTTACTATATGCATACCTACCTCAAAAGACACGTGATTGTTAAATTATTCAAGCAGCATAGCCTTTGTAGAGTCTCCCTTTTTAAGTTATCGCGGCTGACATTTCCTTGGGTTTTCGTATCTCATTATTCGTATCTTCAACTCAAAACCCATTCTCAATCAATTACCTCTTGTAAAATGGCACCCTCAATCGATTCATTCTTTGACAAGAAAATCGCAGATCGATGGGGTCCGACGCGAAATGAGTGAGCTTTCGTCGTCTTTATCCTTACCTTAAGGCTAGCTAATTGCCGATAGGGCGAATGCTCTCCGCGAGCTTCTCCGAGGGAACATCAACCATGAGGAAGCAGCTACGAAGTTTACAAGCGATATTGCTGCATCTCGCACCGCTGATGTAGCCGGTGGATCTTTATGGGGTATATGGATGCTGCTCCAGGAGACAGCAAAAAAGTTTCCCGAGCATCATGCTGAGGTAAACTGTTACCACTAAGACGGTCTTCTTTCTTTTTCTTAATCTGACCGTTTAAAGTTGGTCAAATTGGTAGATGCTATTCGGCAACTTCCAGACCTCGTAATCAAGGGAGAAACAGCTATTAAGTGGCCTGAACTTCCGAAGCTGGCAGAAGTATGGGGAGAGAATGTCTATGATCGTGAGTGATAAAGTCTTGCGCCCCCTTATCTACAGAGAGTTAACACTGGACAGGGGACGAATTGGCTTATTCCGAAGATCATATTGCAGTGACCGCATTCACGGCCCAGCTTTGTGCCCGACAGCTTGTCGATGCCAACGATTTTCTGTCATGGGCAGTAAGGGATTTTTATGCTGCTTTCGAGCAGACTCCGGCAGAAGCTACTAACGTTAAGGGTGAGAGCGTTCGGTTATTGAATGTCAATGTACCTATTGCGGCACAATGGATCTTGCATGCTGGAGAGGTAATTTACAACTGCGAAGAGAGCTTTAATCTCGAGTCTAGCGATGGATTATGGACGGGTAAGCCTGGGTTTAGCTGGGGTAGATGGAAGCTATGGAAGGAAAGGGCAGAATGGGTATCTGGCCTCGGTAAGGTGGTAAGACAAGAGACGGTAGATATTGCTAAGAAAATGGTGGAGAAAATGAGTCAGATCGAGAGTGAAGACGCCTGATGGAAAGAATACAAAGGTGAACAATTTGGTTCAATAAAGGGATTGATAGAAATGCAAGCGTTCCTAGTAATTGATTTTAATATTATAATGTTCTTGATGTTTACTAGGTTAGAAATGTTAGTGTTGACGAATAGTGTTGTTATCAGATGAAATACATATTGCATTCCATGGTACGGATTACTTTCATGTTCTTAAAATAGTAGGATATCGGCAAAGTGCTCCGCCGACTGCCAGGGTACATACTGCTGGGGTAGCTCTGTATCTAAGGAAGTGACGTTAGGTTAGGTAATTTTTAGCGCGTTACGGCTACAATACAGAAGGTGTCCCTAACTCAAATCAAGGGATCAACTGAACAATGAGAAAACTACAAAATTCCCTGACGTAAGTTTGCGCCGGCTCGCTTGAATATCACAACTTCTTAGGGAATTCGGGCATTGCCGTAAAGATGTTATATATTAACAAACTCAATTTCTTATAAGCTAATTTACTTTCGTCGCTTCTATTTTACAATGGACATATCTAACTCGGGAGGTACGGATGCAAACGAGTCGAATTTCTACATGATTATTAAACTTTACCTCAACTGACCAACTTATTAACTTGTCCTTACTGTAGGTATCTCTTGGACCTCTATTCCAACCGACCTACTCCTTGCTGAGCTATCAAAAAGACAGCATGGCCAAGGAAGCTCCGCGCCCGATACCGAAAAGCCAGCATGTGGATCGGGCGAGCGAGGCGCATACAATACCGCCCTTCATGTCTTCGCTTTATTCCTAATACTTACACTGAGCACTCTAGGTAAGATATCAAAGTCACGGCTGCTGCCGAGTTTCATTAGTTTCGACTCAATATGCTAACTGAGATTACGCGACGATTTGTAGCTTGCGGCTTTCCCCTCTTCTCCCGCCAGTCCTCTAAGAGTCGTCGAGCCAATACGATCGTATTCCTCAGCCAACACTTTGGTACAGGCGTCCTACTCGCAACTGCCTTTGTTCACCTTCTTCCGACTGCTTTCCTATCTCTGACCGATCCTTGTCTCCCTCATGCATTCAGCGAAGGATATCAACCTATGGCGGGGTTGGTAGCTATGGTCTCAGTTCTGGTTGTTGTGGCGTTGGAATCGTATCTGACAACTAGAGGTGCTGGTCATTCGCATGGCCATGCGTGGAACTCGGAGGATGAAGAACTACAGGAAGAGGACAAGAATGCCGCGACTAATGGTGGGTTGTCGGCTAGAAGAGCTGCGAGCCACAGACCGACAGATATTACCCTCGGTGATATGAGCTCCAGTAGGGGTCTAATGGCAGATGTTTCCCCACTTCCAGAATTTACGCCGATCGTCGTATCGCCGCCGAATAAAAAACATTTTAACAATAACGATGACGGAGAGAATGATTCGGATGATAACGATGAAGAAGATCTCGACCTTAATCTCAATGAGCTCGACCCCACTGCGGAAGACGACGCACAACCTCTTGCCCATCCTAACGGAAGCAACCATAGAAGACGACATTCTGAATCTACCATATCTCAAGGCCCGCTAACACCCGAAGAGCAGAAACGACTAATGCTTCAGTGCATGTTACTGGAGGCCGGAATTCTATTCCATAGTATATTTATCGGTATGGCTGTGTCGGTTGCTACAGGACCCCCTTTCGTGGTTTTCCTGATCGCCATCGCATTCCACCAGACCTTTGAAGGCCTCGCCCTTGGATCTCGTATAGCGGCGATTCAATTCCCCCGATCATCTATACGTCCCTGGCTGATGGTCTTGGCATATGGGCTTACTACTCCCATCGGTCAGGCTATCGGGCTTGCTGTGCATAGGTTGTACGACCCGCGTAGCCAAACAGGTTTGCTCATGGTCGGCTTTATGAACGCCATCTCGAGCGGCCTTCTATTGTTCGCGGGCTTAGTACAGCTTCTTTCCGAGGATTTCCTCACCGAGAAGAGTTATAAGGCATTGAAAGGGAAGAAGAGAAGAAATGCTGGCTTAGCTGTATTGGCAGGTGCTACACTCATGGCTCTTGTTGGTGCTTTTGCGTAAATCTAATTGATAGATTTCTGATTATAAAATTTTGGCGTTTCCGGATAGGGGCTATCTGAGATAGGGAATGATATAGATGGCTACTAGGTAGATGGGATTTTGTCACTTCGATCGGAGGTTAAGTATAATTCTGGTATCGTCACGGTCACATGAAAAAATAATTACTTGGAGCTAATGTCAAGAAATTGTCTTTCACTGGTCCGGTCCTTTTTATACACATGAGTCCCGAAATATGTTCTACTAATCCCAACAAATTCAGGCTGCTTTGGGCACTGCAGTTGCCCAGGGGTAGGTCGTCGACATTGGCGAGCCGTAACTACCAAGGTCATCGTAGTCCTTGGTGATGGTCTGGTTCTGGAGGACCTTGGTCACGAAGGGGAGGACGCTATTGCTAGGGTCGGAGTTAGCATTGGGACTGATCGAGATCACGGTGGAAAGTGAGGGTGGTTTCTAAATCATTGAAGAAGGGGTACTTACAATCCGCTCATGTCGCAATGACCGCCGCCGCGAACAGACATCGCAATCTGGTCCGGAACGCCCAACCAGTCGTAAACAAGCTTAGCGGCCGGGTACACAACAACCGAAGTGCCCTTGGAGTTAGTAAACTGGTCACCGGTGCCCTGGTCAATAACAAGGGCACGCGGCGCAATCGCAGCAGCGATAGTATGCGCGTCATACGGCAAATTCTCAGCGTGGTTAACAAACGTTCCCAGGGTCTTGTCGGTCCACCACCCCGCGCCGCTCTTGCTGTTCTCGAGCGTCTCGTCCTGTCCGCTCAGCCCGTGGTACCGGTACGGGCCTAGCCCCTGCACGCCGCTGCTCATGGGCATCGTCAGCGTGATGCGCTTGTCGAGCAGCCCGGCTGCGAGAGCTGCTTTGCCCAACCGCGAACACCCGGTTACGCCGACGCGGGTGCTGTCGATTTCGGGGACGGTGGCGTTGAGCGCGTCTAGCACCCGGTGGAAGCCCCATGCCCATGCTGTGAGGACGCCTGTGAGAATTGGGTTTGTATGTTAGTGTTGGGATTCTTTTGTCATTCATATGTGTATAGGTAGGTATATAACGGGTATAGGTAGGATGGGTAGAGTCTTCGTACCGATGTCCCGGCCGTTGTAGATATCCCAGAACGCGCCTGTCTTGGAGTTGCTATCGGCGGCGACGCGCGTGTAGTCGAAGCCGACGACGGCGATGCCGGCTTGTAGGTATGGCTGGTTGGTCATGCCGCCAATGTTGATGACGACGGGTGCGGGCTTCGTCGAGGGTAGCGCTAGCGTGGCGCTGAATTTGCCGGTCTTGCCGCCGGCTGTTACTTCGATGTTTACTGTGTTGCCGCTTCGTGTGGCTTTGACTGTTTCTTGCGAGTGGTCGGGGTAGTATCCGTATCTACGAACGTGGTGTTAGAATCAAGCTTTCCGATCCCTCTTCACGGCTGAAGGAGCTTCGCTATCCCACAGGGGCTTGTTTCTGCTGCTCGACTTACTGGTACTCCTGCAGCATCTGAAGGAGCTCAGGCTGGCGGCATTGGTACCATTCCTCGGGTGTCTGGATCCGGTTCTTGCCCTTGCCCACCATCACGTCGGACGCGAAAGACGGATCGCTGCCGCCCTCGCTGTCGGTCGTCGTGTAAGCTAGCGGTAGCCAGGGGTCCGGGAGCGTCGTCTGCTTCGGCAGCTTTTCCCACGTGGGGTAATTTCCTGCCGACGGGACCGGTGCGCATTCGGCTGCTGCTGTCGGCGCTGCGACTGGAGCCGGTGCTGCTGGGATGGCTGCTCCTAACCACGGGAGGGCGACTGCAGCAATGGTGGCGGCGCGCTTGGGGGAGGGCATGCTGGGCAACAGGCTCTCGAGGATGGACGCAGGTGGGATAAGTTGTAGGGTCGAAGGCGAGGGTTATTGCGAGGGCTCGTGGAGGCGACGAAGAACTAATATATGATCCTATACGCGGCAGCGGTGAGGTCACATCGGCTCGCCCCGGAACTTGGGCCTCCTTGCCGTACATCGATATTGCCGCTACCCCGAGACAGCTGACCGGGTATTTCTAGATAGCATATAAATAGGTAGCTAAGTTAACATATTTCTTGAGGCTCATCGATGAGGTGCAATAGTATGTTTTTATGTAAACATCATTTTTTTCTTCGTTTCCTTTCTCTTGCATACACTGGTTTTCCGATTGTACTGTACGCTGTGGTTTACCTCTTCAATTACGGCTTAGAAGTCCTCCAGCACCACAGTTCAACAGCAAACATCCTATACTCCAAGACCCAGATCGAGATGAAAAGGCCACGCGCTAGGATCTTTGAGGGTCTAGGCGGCTAGACCCTCTAGGGTGATATCGAGACTTTAGCCGGTAAGTGTAAACACAGTTCACCACTACCCCAGGGTATGGGCGGATTGATGCGGAGAAGCTATTTTTATCGGACCAGTGGTTATTGTGTAGGTATGTTTTCATCTGAAGCGGTATACTACCTAACCTAATCTCATTGAACACCCAAGTCTAGGACGGCCGTCGCCCCACATTTTCAGTTGGTATAGCTGTTGTAGAATTTTTGCATTATGTATTAGAGAGAATTACCTTTGTGCTATATGTAGGACTTATACGAAAAGTATAAAAATAATAAGTGCGAGGTATTTATCTAGTAGTGGCTATTTTTGGCCCGTTGCTAAGAACGAGGAATAACGGAGGTTGACCGATTCATTCCGGCCCCCACCCCGTTCCATCTTCCGTTCCCGTCCGGAAGTCTCCGGTGTAGGATAATACATGTGTACCTACTAATATATATCATAAGTCATTTTACTAGTAATAGTAGGAAATTTCACTTTTATTACTGCCCTACACAACTTAACACCTAGCATAAAAATTGGAAACCTACGATATTTTTCTATAACTACCTAAGGTACCTAGGTAACTACTTGTTATTCGCTGTTTATCCAAATATGTACATACTGCATAGCATCATTTAAGTCTGCCCTTTTATTTTGATTCTTACGAGTAAAGTAGTCCGACGCATAATACGACATGAAAATGCATAAATAACGAAATGAGAATGTTGCCAAGATATTCGTAACAGAAAGCCGGTTGCTCTTCATTCAATAGGCAGTTGACGCGGGTTCAAGATTCAACATAAGATAATCACATCACGAACAAAAGCCAAGTAAAAGGCCACGTCAACGTCCACGTAAGAAATATGATTCTAGCTTATTATTTATTATAACGATATGAAAATTGTAGAAGGTTTTAATTCCGTTATATACTATTAAGTCCTACCCACATTTTCTTCCGTTCCCAGTGCCTCCACTCCTATTCTTTGTGGTAAGTGGATGGTAAGTATATAGGTCATGTTAATGCTTGTATCTATCACGTACGACCATAGGATCTGGAAAACTCGGGATCCCGTCCGCTCTCCCATAGATAAGCCAGATACCGCTGGATTAGTAGTTGGGTCGGTGACGACCAGCGAATCCCCAGTGTTGTACGTTTATTTTTTTTTTCTTTTTTTGCTACCTTTCCGTAATTTAATCCTACCATATACTGTTTTATTGTTCATATTTTCTAGTTCAGTCCTGTTGGAATTAAGTTCTAGGACTGTGGGTCGTTGAGAGTTGCGAGAGCAAGTGTGTAGTGTTGGTTTGATGAGAGACACCGGGCATGTAATCTAATGGACTGTGGTAACACACATTTAAGCTCTTTATTAAGACTTTTATTCAATCAAGTGATAGAATACTTGCTTCAATTTCATTTCTACATCATATGGAGGCATGGATTAGGTATGTTCAGCCTGTTAGGTCTATCATGCTATATTTACAAATCGCCCAATGGTCTATTACAATCCCTTATTTTATTTAGGGTATTTAAACAATAAAAACACATATAATTCATATATAGTTTATAGTATATGTAATTTATCCATTAGAAATTGAGAATACTAAGGGATTCCATGATGGTGTGACGTATACAGACAAAAATAGGGGTAAAAAAAGGGGAGGTGGTTATCAATTTTTAGTCTCCCACGACATCATATATCTTGTACAAGAGATTAAGGAGGCCTCCTCTGGAACATTATATACGAAAAAAGCGTAGGACTAAGAAAGGTTTTCTAGATTAATAAATATTTTATGATCATACAAAGCTTTAAGTATCAGCCATAATTCACTATCCTCATTGCTATTGTTGTTTAAGCGAGAACGACAGCATCTGTAATGTGTCGGCGGTACTTTTATTCCTTACATAACATTAAAACTGCTGCCAAAATGCAACTATCACAAACCTTACCGTCGCAGTAGTGTCTACCTCCAGGTGGGCAACGCCCATTATGATTCCCTAGAATAGTAGCAGCGTCGTGAATTATTAAGATTAGGATTAGGATCTAACTACATGTATGTTCTACTTAGATACATGCACATATTGCGTCCTGAAGACAGCAAGTGCCTAACCAAGTACCCAAGTAACCATAGCTACAAGATCCCCCCCATCAAGCCTTCTCACCACCACTGCTCACACACACAAACCACCCGGCAACAACGGCAGAAACACCTCCTCACCGCCCCAGCAGAAAATATATAAACAGGACCACCTCCCACCACTTTTCCAATTTCCTTTTCCTTTCCCTTCTTCCCCCCATGCCTCCCCGGCCCGCAGCCCTTTTCTTATTTCCTTTGTTTGTTCGCCATGGTTGGCTCTGCTGCATAGTACCCGCATACACACGGGGAACCGACAAGCGTGTTGCGCCAGGTCAGTTTTTGGAATAACCCCTTGTTCATACCTAACTATGTCGCATGTTTATGCGCGAATTTTTGGAACCGCAATCACCCTTTGGGCGAGTCGTAGACACACATATCCCCCCCTTTTTTTTCGTTGATTTCGCGGCCTGGTGCCGTGGGTCGAGGAAGAGCTTTGGCTGTATGTCTGTCTGGTATGAGGAAATGTTATGGGACGTAATGCGGTGTGGTGGTGTTTGATTACTATGGATGGAGTACGATACTTGGCTGAGTACCTAATGTTATAAAAGGATATACTACATCATATAGTTTTACCTAAATTAAGAAGCTATTAGTAACTAGACTTGGGATATGGTAAATATCTCAGATACCGTGGTCATGGAGCAATGGTATTATTACACAACGGCTATATTAGAAACCTTCACGATGGAGCTTTGGAAGTGTAGATATCTAGGTGGGTTACGAGGTACCAACCTCGCCCAAGGAAGCCATAAACACGTCTACACACCCTACTGAGCAACTCATCAGCAAGCTATTATTGTATACCCACATATGCCATCATTTATACTGGACATGTATCAATTGAGATATAAAGGCAACCTGGAAATCACAATATCAATCAGATAAATATTCTGACCCTAGTAGTTAAGCTAGGCTACGATCACTTCACAAGTACCAAAAACGCAATATGTTCGAGCCTGTCGAATTATGGGATTTAGCTATATATTCTCAGATATCCCAAGGAAATCTCCTATAGCCATGACCCATCCATGCAGGTCTTTATTCAACCTAACCGTCCATATAAACAAATATACGAGTATCCCAATACTTTTCCCCAACCGTGCTCTATTTGGTATCTGCCATGCTACATTCGTACAAAAACATCATTAATAATAACAAAAATCAACATCCAGAGACCGCTTTCGATCAAAAGCCTCCGTGGTTTCGTACGTTTATGCCGATGTGAGGAAGTGAGGCGCATTAATAAACAGACCCATGAGTACGCCGCCGAGGGTACCGGCGATGGGAATCGTGGCGATCCACGATAAGAGCAAAAGACCGACACGTTGGAAGTTCACAGCCTTTATGGTGCCGTTGCAGAGACCGACGCCAACGGTAGCGCCCGTGATGCACATCGATGTAGATACGGGAAGAGAGTACTGAGAGAATACAAGCACCGTGATGGCGGCACCCATCTCCATAGAGCAACCTCGGCTAGGAGAGTGATAGGTGATCTTGTTGCCCATGACCTTCATGATGTTATAGCCATACGTGATAAGGCCGATGGAGATCATCGCAGACAGGACAGCGAGTTGCCAAATGGGGACCTGAGCAGTAGACTCGGAAGCCTTACCGGTCTTCCACGCGGAGTAGATGACGGCCCAGGGTCCAACAGAGTTTCCAATATCGTTAGCACCGTGAGCGAACGAGGCAGTACAGGCAGTCAGGACCTGAATGAAAGAATATGTGTGTTCGACTTCGTTAGGGTATTTCTCCGCGTGGGCGTAGACGCGCTGCATGCGCTTACCCTCAGGAGTGCCGGAGATACCGGACTGCGCGGCGTGGATATCGTAGTGGAGACCATAGAGCAGGCCACTGGTGACGACTGCGGGAATACGCTTCATGAGGATCTTCATGTTGTGGAGTTCGTAAATCTCGCCAGCACCCATGGGGTTGTCGCGGAGCGTGCGCATAGCCCAGCCCATAGGACCACGGCTGTTGAGGAGCTTCTCGTTTAGCTTGTTCTCACCCTGCGCAACGATTTCCTTGTACGTAGTTTGCTTGGCCTCGATTGTGGCGAGTCTCTTCTCGTTCTCCTCGTTAGAGCTCGAAGTAGCCGGGTGATCAGAGATTGATTCGGAACGGGTGGAAGCGTGTTCCTCTTCCTCGTCTTGGATGACGGCGTAGTTAGGAATGTTGGCAACCTCGGAATTCTCGGGAATCGGGCGCTTGAAGAGGAGAGGACCCTGAATAAACATCCACCATTTGACGGAGTGGTCTCGCCTGATAACCTTTGCGTGTACGAAGGGGACGAAAAAGAGAGCCGAGAGGATGGCGACACCACCGCCACAACCCATAGTGACGGCAGCTACATACCAACCGGGCTTCTTGTTCAAGTTGAGACTGGGAGAGCCCTTGTACACGATGGACAGAGTGCAGACGGTGGCAGCAACGAGAAAGAAGAAAGGCGAGGAGTAGACAGCCCAGGGAATCGGGTTCTTGCGAATATGAACGACGAGCTTGATGAGCATGAAGAATGCGGCACCGAAGCCTCCGGCGATGACGGGAGCCATTCCAAGACCGGCAAAGATAGCGCCAAGACCCTTACCGTTGTTCCAACCCCATTGGACTTGCGAGGCGCCGACGGTTGCGACACCAACGCCGGCAACAGCGGAGATAAGAGAGTAGGTGGATGATACGTGGGCCGAGTGTCGCGTACACCACATAACCCAAGTTGAAGCGGCAGCCAAAGCACAAGTGAAAGCGAGCATCTGAACACCGGCGTTTCCACCGAAAGCTGTATAGGGGATGATACCGTTCTTAATGGTATCGGCCGTGCGGGCACCGACCGTGATAGCTCCGAGCATTTCGAATACGGTACCGAATATCATGGCCTGTCTGTACGAGATAGATCTCGACGAGACACTGGTAGCCCAGGAGTTTGCGACATCATCTAAAGAAATTGTTAATATCTGATAAACATACTCGGATACAACGCGTAGAAACAAATCTGATTGGTCGGATAAGAGATTACTTACTGGCACCATTGTTGAAGGCATCGAGCATGGCAAACAGAGTGCCGATGGCGAAGATGTAGGTGTACTGATCGAGAGCCATTTTGACACGCGCGGACAGAGGCCGTCAATGTCGGTATAGATGTCGAAGATCGAAGATCGATGGTCGATTTCTCGTTGATAACAGGTCGCTGTTTATCAAAGGAAAGGTAGAAAGGGAAACAAAGGGCGATAGGGAGAATATATAGGTCCTACCCGAGCCTATCTCCGCAACGTATCAAGGTCGTCCAAAGCTACCTCATATGGCTTTACCGAGGGGCATCAAATCCTGAGCAACACAGGGTTTACCTCGTAATGCTCGCATTTCGCAAAAGCATGATTTGTGATTTGGCCAGGAAAGCCACTTTCACGAGCCCAGCCAGTCGGCCGTTTTCCCATCCACGTCTAGGCCTGCCCGGCTGGGCAAGGCTTGTATCTCTTGCCAGTATCGAGGCAGAATTGGCTTACTTGGCGCATCTTGGCGACACGAGAAAGGATTTCAATATCCGCGATAATGTACAATACTGTAAGGGTTGATAGATCAGCGACTCTGGTTCGCGGCGAGTTCGCGGCTGAGGCTCTTGGCGGGGCACAAGATTCCAACGGACCCCAGGGCTTGCGTGAGCCAATAGAAGGTCTCGAAGGACCCCACGTGTGAAGATCTGCCGTTCTGAACGGCTCCCATGGAGTACGGGGGGACCCCGTCTGCCCAGACGCCCGGAGAGCTACTGACAAGGGGTCCTTAAGCTAATGACGAGTCGGACCAACCGCTGATATCAATATCAAACGACAACAATTGCCTTCCTGCAATGGAATAATTCTAGAACAGAAATAAGAAGTTCAGCACTCGTCACACGTCCAATGATATGCTTTCTTCTAAAAGTACGCAGCACACCTACGCGACGGAAGCACGTGTGACAGAAAATGCCTTGACGGAAGTTTACATATGCTCTCCTAGGACCTCGGTATATATTTTAAGGTTGATCATCTTGATGTTCTATATGTGATACACATCAGTGAAACGATACTCTACCCACGTTTTCGTGCTCTTACCGATGCATTAAACTCGCCGCGCACAATAGAGTGGAAAATTCATCCCCTCTCGGTTGTTTAGTCCGAGGACTAGACGGATACTAGCGTTGAGCTATTATAGAGATAGGTCGCATTCAGCACCATAATAAGCTTTAGCTTGGCACTTGGTATCTCTCATACGATATGCTTAGCTGGTGATGTCGTAGCTTGTCAGGGCATTGGAGAATCGACGACATTTGCACCACGGTCTGCCTCGAAGGGGACTTCGGTCACGACCTAGGGTGTGGGTGGTAGTACTGCGCGGTCAAGCCACAGAACTTCATCCGAGCCACTAGAAATATCTCTTCATCAATATTCGGGGGCGTATCCCGAATTCAGGTGGACTGCTCGGTCTGCTCTCTTAGGTAAAATCATAGTAAGGTAACGTTATACTATTAGTTAATTGTCTAGGTATACTATTAATAATTTTTAATAATAGTTTTGACATATGAGATAGTTGTGTGGCGGTTTACTTTATTAGTGTAAGATGAGATGGAATCGTGAGAATTCAACAAGCCTAGTGAAAATGGTGAAAATAGTGAAAATAAGCAGTGCAGTTGTAAAGATGTCGCACGGCCACGTGCTCTCCCAAAGTTCAAGTTGCCAGAACCCATGGTCGGTTAGCTCTACCATTTTAGTAAGGTGCGACCGAGCCGCTTGCATGGTGGATATCACGACAGTCCTGATCTAAGTTTAAGAGGTCCCGCATTGTTTTTTTTTTTAGTTCCGATCTTAAGAAGCAAGGAAGTCTCATTACGCATGAACTTTAGATAAAATTGACATAAACCTTTACGACTTGGGCATTTCCTATTTCAACTCCTATTGGCATTAAAATAGTAGCTCATGTTCGGAACACCATACTTTAGCGTCGTATTTGTTCCTAAGAAGTTTCAATCTAGATAGGAACGTACATCTATCGAATTTCAGGGATATCCAACTCCACCTAGAATGAAACTATATAGATGCGAGAAACACGTGGGAACACTTTTCTGTTGAACTATAAGGAACTTTGATACCCTATCAAGACTAGATAACCTAAAGCTCTTTGTACTAGACGTCTCCGTAGGCTAAGGATCTAACAGTATAATTAATAAGCATCGCATTTGCTTTCAACTATCCAAAGGTCTACCAGCTTAAATATAATGAGCTCGCTAACTTAGATGCATAGGAGTTATGCCTTTATCGTCACTCTTCTAGACTGAAAACTCGAGTGAGGGTTTACCGACTAACACAGGTCAATATAAGCAGTATAACTATGGTGATCATTGTTGCGTTAGGGTAGCTATAGCTGTAGATGTACATATAATCTTCAATAACAATATGTCATGTCTCTAGTTCTCATTATAAGCTAGTACGTGGGATAGGTAGTCGTGAAAGCTTATCCGCGTTGTGCTTCCTATTAAGTATCCCAGCAGTAAACCATCTTAGTTGATTCTCTAGAAACCAGTTGACAGTTTCGAAAGGCAAACCTGTCTTTGTGATAGCATAACACAACTGCAATAATATAATTAGGAGTGGTGATAAATTTAAAAACACTAATAACGCAATTCAACTTTTATTCAACTTTTATTTACCTCTCTATCCACCATCGAAAGGATAAAGTTAGGGTGGATATAAAAAGTCAAAACACAGAAGAAAATATAATTCTTGCTTCAATTACGGTTATTAATTAAAGATTGATATTTTCAGAAGTGACTTTTGATATGATATACTACCTATAGAGTAACAGGTACCAGCCAGTAAAGAATAAGAGTATACAACGTCAAAGAAGTATGTTAACGCTTACTCCTATTCAAAATTAGGAACACCAAAGTGCCCTACATATACTATCTAGTAACTAGTTAGTGATAAACTCCCGTTTAACACACCAACCATATCACCTAGCTAGTTCTAATCCTTGCCTCCTAGCAGATATAAATATAGGTATAATGAAGATGGGATGTATGACTTGATGGCTATCTGTCAGAGAACTCTTAATATATACCATACGTAGAGTGACAGTTAGAAGCAGCAGCGAAGCAGCTGTATAGTAGCCGTATGGTAGTACGAATCTAAGTAACGCTTAACCTTCAATCTTCATTCGAGGGCACTACGCGCCCTTTACGTAGGTACCTTTACTATGTTTGTTCCCAACCAACTCTTGACAAGCAAACATTAGATCATTTGTAATCCATAAAAGAATTATCGTCATGAGAAATTGTCATGTTTGAAGAAAAATAGCGCTGATGTGTGGCTGGACTGTCGCCATATGGTATACCTATATGTAGGGAGGAAAGTAACTCGGTCTGCTATTGGCTGAGGAAGCGTAGCACTCTAAGTGGGCGCTTGCTTGCCGCCCAACACAAACCAATTATTCCATGCCAGCAGGGAGGTGAGGCTCTGCAGAACAGACCGTAAAAACAACATGAAAAATGACATGTCAGTGAAGTTTTATAAAGTAAGTTTCGTGCCCCTCTCGTAAATATTGTTGCAATAAGTTTGTTGCAGTAATTTTCTCAACTTGATAGTTTGGTATTATGGAGTCTTTTCAAATCGGATTTTATACTGTTATTATATTAGCAGCATTCAAAGTTATCCTAATTGCACTTGAGATTTTTAACGCACGCAAGCTAAATGCCAGGTTCTTGCGTGCGTCCGGATATATATCCGCGCTTCTGGCCCTTCTCCTCGGAAGTGTGTCGTTTGTGGGGTTACGAGCAAAAGGGCCAGACCAACCTGGCCAGTGTAAAAGCGCCGATGCGGATATAGTCGGAGATGGTGTTCGTGCAGCTTCTTGGGCGCAAGTCGGATTGTTATTCTTCATTACTCTTACAGGAGTATTTCATATTTATAAGACATCGGTGAAAGAGATTGGCCAAGGCCTGATTGCTACGCACGTGTCTTTAGCCATTGCACTTCTCGTCCCACTAAGCCGTCGAGAGCTCTCCCCTATCGATGCAATACTGGGGTCTTTGATCCTCGACGCACAAGGGAATTCTCTTTCTTTCCAGTTAGTCACGAAGGAAACATTAGCAGCTCGAGGACAAGTAGTCGTTGCTTTGATAGCTCAGTTGCTTGGCTTGATTGTAGAAGGTATCCTCGTGGGTAACTTCACTGCAAACTTGCGTCTCACTAGCGATTGCGATTGCTTCTCTGCATTTTGGTGGTCATGGCTGAGCAACTGTTCGTCGGTATCCCCAAACGATGTCAGGCCGTTCTGGATTTATTTCGGATATCGATTCATCAACACTATTTACGGAGGCTACTTTGCCATCACGCGGACTACAACTTTTGACGAAGCTGAGAAGTGGGATAAAGAAAACCCATGCTACCCATGCGACTCCTGCATCGAATCCGGCGGAGAAATACGGCATGCGGACTGTAAATGCCATTTCTGCAAAGAATGTTGCTTTTGCAAAGTATGCAATAGGAAGAGGCGCTGTAGTGACCAGAAACAGAATGACTCTAGCAGTGATGAACCACTACAAGATACTAGCGACGGCATACCACTACATAATATCGGTAATGGTACACCACCACGAAACGTTGGCGATGATGGCTCTGATAACGATAACGCTAACGATGACGATATTGATAATGGCGAGGCGCTACAGGACGGTAGCAACAGTATATCATCACGAAGGACAGACGACGATGCACAACTACAAAGCGGCAATAACAATGTACCGCCACAACCTGGCAGCATCGGCATACTACCACACAATAGTAGCAGGGACATAGAGCAGTCCCTCTCCTTCTGTAGAATCTGCGAGGACTGCCAAAGATGTCACGAGTGCGGGCATATGGACTTCAATGCCTACCAATCAGGACTTCTGGCCGGCGAACGATTTTCTGAATACGGCGTAACCGTTAGCGTAAGCTTTCTAGAAAACAGCGTCCTCGCCTTGTTGAGTATGATATCGGTCGAAGTCACGATGAATATCAATGCGGTACAAAAGACATCTCCTTTATATTCTGTTGGACAAGTCACAGCTTTAGTTATAGCCGGTGGAACAGCCCTTCGAGTACTTTATGTTTTCTTCTTAATGTTCATGGCTTAATGGATGGCTGGCGGTACGGGATCTAACATAGCGTTGGGTGATACCTGGGCGACTAATATATAGAGTTAGAATGTTAGACTAAAAAATTGAATATTAAACTGCCATAGTCCGTTATGGCCATCAAGTCTTATGTAACATAACACGACATATTTAGAAGACAGAAGAAAGAAAACAGGATATATGAATATGATATTGTTCGGAGGGATACACCTAAGCAAAATGAAGGTTTGTTAAACCACATAGTGTAGTGTCAGACACTTAGGTATAAGACAAAGAATATCCATATAGAGTGGGAGTTATGCAATACCTTATACCAGAGCAATGCTACCTATACCTATACCTATACCTATACCTATATACCAAACCCACATCTTCAACCCACCTAACCTAACCTAGGTATCTACTCATTCTTCCCCCCCGTCACAGCCTCCACCCCCTTAACAACCAACCACCTAGCCATCATAGTATGAAACCACCTCCCCACCCACCCCTCCAACAGCGTCGCCTTCCCCCCATCCCTCTCCCTCCACATAACCGTCTCATTCACAAACCTGACCTCCCCCTCCCCCTCATCCTTCCCCTTCCCCTTCCCCTCCCTCTCCCTCTCCCTATCGCTCCTCCTCCCCCTCCCCGCACGATCAACATCGATATCAAACCCAACAACCAACGCACCCCCCCCAACCGGCCCCGTCCACCCCTCCGGCGGCGCCAGATCCAGCACCACGCGGCCCTTGCTCCGGCTGCGGCTGCGCACCACATACACGCCGCACACGCGGTCGCCCGGCCGGAAGCGGCACGCGGCGAGGTACTCGGCGTCGAAAGTGCGCCTGTACGCCTCCGGGTCCGGCAGCGACGAGGCCATGCGCGCCAGCAGCAAAGCCTGCGGCGTCCAGGAGAACGCCGTCATCGTAGCGCTGAGATACGAGTCCAGCAGGCCGCTCAGATTGCCCTTCTTGGAGATGAACTCGGGGCGAAGCGACGACACTGGGACGGGGGCTGAAGACACGCGCTCCCGCGCCACGACGTACTGCTCCAGATGGTGGCGGACGTCGGACGGGAGCGAGTCCTTGTCGCTGGTGCCTTCGGCCGAAGATGCCGAGGACAAGGAATCCGGCGGGGAGATGAGCGCCGAAGCAGCGGTGTGCCGCACAAGCGAGCGCTGGAGGTAGAGGATGTAGGCGGCGGGGATGGCGACGGGGGCAAGCGCGATGAGGACTCGGATTGGAGTGCTGCTTGTCCCGCCGAGGCCCCCGAAGGTAGATCTGGGGAAACTGGATAATCCCATTCTCGCCATTGTGAGTCACTTGGTTACGTTATGTTATGTATGTATAACGTAGTTATATGTAATTATAACTGATATAAACAAACACTGATGTAGACTAAGTATATGAGTAACTAGATATAGTCAAGAGAACTAGTTATCAAAATGTCTTATAAAGGTCTGTTTGATATTGATATTCCAAGGTTAAGTGGCGGTGGGAAAAAAAAAAACCAAGACCTGGTACAAAATGCGGCTGCAATGCGGCTCCGAGGCTGAATCGATCGATATCTTCCATGCATCCAGGAACCCCCGCGCCGAATTTGCTAGCCAAGAACTTACGATAGCAGTATCAAGAAACTAACAGGGACTACCTGTGCGCAATATGCTGGTACTAATACCTATCAGGCCTAGTTAATATCATTAGTCACAGGTACCGCAAATGTTAGCTTGAGCTCCTACATATTCCGGCTCCGAGAACTTCATCGGTTCAATATCCTAATTTATAAACATGAGGAATAATATTGGGAATAATTTACTGTATATATGTATAGGGGTAGAACGCTCCTCAACGCCATAATGCAATGCGTTCGTTGAAAATCCAAAACGCGATCCGAATAACCCAAAAGGTATTTTAGCGCCTTATGCAAAAAGGCCACTATGCCTCGGGACGATCCAACGTGTCTAATGGTACGTATCCTTCGTCTTTCCTTGACCTCTTACCCAATACCGCTCCCGCAAGGTCCTGGACTCTAGTGACAATACCATCTAAACCCCAACCGCGGCCGCGCTTCTTAAGCCCACCCTTATCCGCAAGCAAAGCTTCCTCCATCCATTGCGGCCGCTTCCAGGATTTCAGAAGTAGTGAACTAACTACAACGCTGACACTGCTGCAAGCCATGGCGGCACCCGCAGCCATAGGGTGAAGATGCCATCCTATGGGAAGAAACAGACCCATGGCGAAAGGTAGGCCGACGACGTTGTACATACAAGCCCAAGTAAGGTTAAGTTTGATACGTAAGAAGATAGTACGAGCAAGGTGAAGGGCGGCGGGGATATCCATAAGGTCGTTTGGTCGCATGAGGACGACGTCCGCAGCTTCCATGGCTACATCTGTGCCGCTAGACATGGCGATGCCAACATCGGCGGTAGCCAACGCAGGGGAATCGTTGATACCGTCACCAACCATAGCGACGCATTCACCCCTGTCCTGAATTTCTCGGATGATGTTTTGTTTCTGGTCTGGAGATACGCCAGCATACACGTTGTCGTGCGAGATGCCAACGGACGATGCAACAGCCAACGCAGTAGATAGTTGGTCACCGGTAACGATAGCGGTCTTGATTCCCATGCTATGTAAAACCGAAATGGCCGCCGCAGCCCCTTCCTTGACGGTATCCGCCAGGCAGAGGTGACCGGCGTATTTACCATCGATAGCAATAAAGACGTTTGTCGTCCCGGCAGAAGAAGTCTTTGACTTATTTGCCTTCGAGTTGATTTCCTCCGAAGCCTCAACTGCATCTTCTGGTACCTCGATTGTGTTTTCTCGCAAGAAACGAACACTTCCGACAAGTACTTGGTAACGCGTACGCTCAGCACTGGCGGGTTCGACACGCGCGCTGATACCTCGCCCGACGATGGCGTTGAACTCGCCAATGCTGCCATCAATAGCTGCCTCAGGGTCCAAGCCGAGATCGTTCCTCGCTGCTACTAGAATAGCCTTGCCAACTGGATGCTCGCTTCCCATTTCGGCTAGACCGACAATCGTCCACCAAAGACGTCGTCGCCACTCCTTATCCTGCCAGACGGATGGCATCTTGATGCTTGCAACGCTCATCTTTCCATACGTAAGAGTTCCCGTCTTGTCGAGGACAACTTGAGTAATCTTAGTTGTAGCCTCTAAAGCAGCACCGCCCTTGACCAAAATACCGTTTTCTGCGCCCACACCTGTACCCACCATAACTGCAGTAGGTGTAGCTAGACCAAGCGCGCATGGGCAGGCGAATACAATCACGGATATGCAAAGTTTGACACAGACCATCAACTTACCACCGCTTTCAGCTTGTAAGAAAATCTTCGGTGGGTTAGTCAGAACGTGACTGAGAACCATCCACGTGATAAATGTTAGGAAACCAAGAATCAGGATTGCGGGAACGAAGATGCCGGCGAGCGTGTCAGCTAACCGCTGGATGGGGGCCCTGGTAGTTTGCGCATCTTGCACGAGTTTGACAATTTGGCTTAGCTGCGTATCCCGGCCTGCTCTGGTCACGCGGAAATCGACTCGCCCATGCCCGTTGACAGTACCACCTATCACGTTGCTGCCCTTTCGTTTCTGGACTGGGATAGCCTCTCCGGTAACCATACTCTCATCCACGTACGTTTCACCTCGTACGATAGTTCCATCGGCAGGAATCTTATCTCCTGGGCGGATGATCACAATATCGCCGACTGAAATGAGTTCGGTAGGAATGACCTTTGCCTCTTCTGCGTTACCATCGTGGGCTGGAGTTTCTGGCTTTTTCGATTTGGCCATGTCCCAACCCTCTGCTGCCTTCTCGGCAGCAATCGGATCGGCGTATATGGTAGCCATGGATGGAGCTAAGGACATGAGTCGTGAAAGGGCCTTTGAAGTCTGTCCCTTTGCACGGTTCTCTAGGAATCGACCGAGTGTGATAAACGTGATAAGCATAGTACTGGTATCGAAAATAGTGCCCGGTCGGTTGTGCGGCGGGAATAGAAGGGATACGATCATAGTGAAAACGCTAAAGAAAAAGGCAGCCGATGTGCCTAGAACAACAAGTACATCCATAGTTGGGGACTTGTGCTTGATGGATTTAAAAGCCGAAACGTAAAAACGCTTGCCTATGCCGAATTGAATGGGTATCGTTAAAACCAAGCAGATAACGTCGCCGAGGAAGAGCCCAGGAAGTAGTACCAGGCCACCGAAATCTAAAATAGGAATCATCATAGGGAAAACCATGCCAATAAAGAATACCGGGAGGGCAAAGGATAATGAGACCTGGAATGCTCTTCTCCACTCTTGAATCTCTCTTGTCTTCGCCAGACTCTCTAATTGCGCATTGTTATCGTCATTGTCGGCGACTAAAGCATTAAATCCTAGCTTTTCCACTTCCTCTACAAGCGCGCGCAATCCTGTCAGGCTTGGTTGATGGGATACGGTTAGTCTAGATGTGGACATGCTCAGCTTAACTGAGCTAACACCGGGGAGAGCAAGCAGCGCATCTTCGATAGTTTTAGCAGCCGCAGCGTCCGGATCACCATAGATCTTGAACTGAGCCGTAGAAGAACTTCCTGAGTGATCCGACATATCAGCTAACGTTGATAGGACATTGGCGCCGAAACCCCTGTCTTCAATGATTTCTGCTATCTTTTCCGGGGTCAATTTTATGATATCGTGTGTAATAACGGCACGCTCTGCCAATAAACTGATGTTGAACCGCAGTATACCCTCAACACCAGCAAATCCCTTCTCAATGGCAGAGGTACAAGCACCACATGTCATACCCTCAATCGCAACCGTAGTTGTAGCAAGAGTCGATGCTTCGAAATTGGCCAATCCCGATTTCTTAACCGGTTTTGATTCTTCGCTTGATACTAGAGTCGCGCCGAATCCTCTATCTTCGATGATTTCTATAATTTGATCGGAAGGTAGGAGAGACGCGTCGTGTTCTATGACGGCTCTTTCGGAAAGCAGTGAAATGCTGAAGTGCTTTACTCCTGTTACATCCGCGAATCCACCTTCGATAGCCGACGTACACGCCCCACAGGTCATACCCTCGACAGCGATCGTCGTGACGGTCGTTGACGGTTCATCTCTGCTGTCCTCGGCTTCGAATCTCGGAGTTTGCAATGGAGTCGGTAAATCGGTCGACAGAACCTCCGCTTCGAACCCACGATCTTCGATTATTTCTTGTATAGTTTCGGCAGGGACTCGTTGTGGATCGTGCATTACTACCGCGCGCTCCATCACCAGACTCACCGACACGCTACCAACCCCGTCAACACCTTTGAAGCCCGCTTCAACGGCTGAAGTACAAGCGCCACAACTAGACATGTAAGCTAATAGAACAATTAGACAAAGGGGTTGGGGGTTCATACGTCATGCCACCAACTCTCAAAGTGGTGGTTGCCCATCGAGGTACTGGACTCAGTAAGGAAGATCCAGTTGATCCCCTCGCTGGGACTCTAATATGTTCTGGAGCCATATTCGAAGAGCGCGATTGGACTACGTTTCGAAAGGGGCTGACAAAGGCGTAGACTGTGTCGTTGGTCCGTCTATTATACGCTTCGCAAGTTTCCTATACAATGGCCGGCATGATATTATTGCTGTTTGATAATCCTCGTTGGATAAAAGAACCTGTGAGAAAACAGGGATAATTGGCAAGGCCTCGGCGCCAGGCGGAGGGGAGCAAGTTATATTAAATTCGGGATATGTTGGTGTGTATTGAAGGTCGCAACTGGCAAATGGCAAAAGAAGAAGAATCGAAGCCGGAATGTCGAACGATGCGATCCTTTTTTGGGTTTAAGAGCGTTTGTAAGCTGCCGGGGGACTAGGGAAACGCAACTTCGTACGTAACGGTACCTAGATACAGTGGGAAAATATGAAGCGCTCTAGAACCAATCGGGTGTTTCATTGCATAGTAAATTGGTGGAATTAACCGTATCGGGAGATTATTGGTGTTTGACCGAGCGCATATCTCGTACAGTGCGGTATAATAACTTGGACTGTTATTCAATACAATTACGAAGTGTGCCACATCGAACCTGTTAACCTTCCCAACTCGGCAACTCCAGCGATCCTCAAAAGGATCTTGGCTACGATATTTTAGATCTGGACACGTTCTCGAATGATTATTGAATGCTTACGGCTGTCTGTTCTATATACTGAACACTACAAACGTGGATAGATTAGAAATCAATAACTTAAAGTAAAAGCCAAAGAAAATTAACAGTAGTTATAGAAATATATATGTTTTAAGACAAGTGCCGGTCCCCGGTATGTTCGGACCGGGGCGGGAATAGAACCTCTACTAAATATACGGCCAATAAATTAGGTACTTTTGAATATTATCCGGCGGTCTTAGTTTTAATTAGGAGACCACCATTAGCTCCGCGCAAGAACGGAGGATTTGATACTCCTATTTCTAACGGATTTTTGAATTAATTATAGACTACTCACGTGCTGACCTACTGAGTGCAATATAATAAATATTCAGTATTTGTATTTTTTTTTCTGGTCATAATCTATTAATACAATGACACAGTTGATTTGTTCTATAGAAGATATGATAAATGTCCAGTCTCTTTTTAAAGGTTAACTGTGTTGCAAACAAAATAAGTACTTAAGTACTTATCTAGTGTGGAGTGATAAGATAAGACAGGCAGCTAAGGTAATTGCCCCGCTATGACAAGGGATCTTAGTGCTTGGAAGCTCAAACAATCATGATACAAGGCAATGATACAAGACGCTTCATTAACAATATCAAAGACTGCCTTTAACATCAAACAATAGGAAATCCTGTCTTATAATCCCGCTATCTTTCACCAGACCAATAACTTTCTCCTTAGCTAGGTTCATAAGATCTAGCCGTTTCGGTTTACTCCCACCATACCTAGTAATTGTAATCATTGAAACGAACAAAAGCAAGGATCTCCACAGTCTGTTCTTCACGTCGTGAATTTATCGTCGTTTCATCCTATAGGGCAAGGCTAGCCGATCCGAAAGCTTAGCTGTCTAGCCGTGGTCCCTTATCCTTAACCGTGTGAGAGCCTGACGTCGTTGCTATCGTCAGCATAACGGCGAGGTTACTTTCATCATGGAGCAGACCAAGGCTTTGAATGCTCTAGAAGTAAGGATTTCATGTCTATTTCCCATCACATATTTCTTGATGTAACCTATCTTTGAATATAGTATCTAACTAAAGCAACAGCCTTACCTAGCTCTCACGAAGTCCGCGGCCGCACCCCGAGCAGCAGCTGACCTAGTCACCCAAGCTACATCCAACCCGAACACCTACGTCTTCGCCGAGCTACTCCAAGCGCCTCAGATACAATCTCTCAGCCAATCCCCCGAGTACGCATCATACCTCTCACTCCTCGAGATATTCTCCTTTGGCACGTTCTCCGGCTACAAACAGCTCGCCGGAAAACTCCCCCAACTCAACGATGCCCAAACCCTCAAACTACGGCAACTCTCCCTCCTAACCCTAGCCCGCGACCCCCACAACCTAAGCTACGCAACCCTACAACAAAACCTAGGGCTTCCCGACTCCCGCGCCGTCGAGGACCTAGTGATCTCCGCGATCTACGCCGGGTTAATCGAAGCCCAGCTCGACCCGCGACACCAGGCCGTGCACGTCTCCAGCGTCTCCCCTCTGCGGGATCTAGAGCCCAACTCGCTCCCGTCTATGCTCACGGCCCTAGTCACGTGGTCCGATAGGTGTACATCCACGCTCGCGGACCTGGACGCCCAAGTCGCGCAGATCAAGTACGAGGCCAAGCAGCGATATGACGAGAAGATAGCTTGGGAGACGCGCGAGGCGAAGCTCATCGAGGAGCAGCGCAAAGCAGATTTAGTGTCTCCCCCGCAAGGAGGCGCACACAGCCGTGGACAAGGGCGGTATTTGGATTCCGCCGTGGCACGACTACGTGGCGGTCAGCGTAACGGCAAGCGTGGAAGTGGCAGCCTGGATGCGGCGCAAGACTCGGATGAGGCCATGGATCTAGATGAGGAGGAGCCCGATGAAGGAGAGATCGTCGGCGCAGGGGCGGGTGCGTCGAGTGCTGGCAAGAAGCAACGGGCGAGTCGTCGAAGACTTTAGTAGGTTTACGAGAGGGTTAACGCTCGACTATCATTGGGCATTAGTTATGAGTTGATGAGTAGTAGTTTACGCATTTTGATGAACGCTAGGTTCTAGCTACAGCTAAGGGAATATCCTCAATAGGCTGGACTTGTAGAAGAGAAGTCTTACGATGACACGGGCAAAAGAAAATTAGAAATAACATGATACAGATTATGATTATGGTAGTAAAAGACGAACTACATTACATATGCCTAAATAAGGCATACCAAAACAAACCAAGCTTACGAACAACGTTATGCCGCAAAATGCAGCTGAGTATGTGGAAATCATGTGTAGAATCAATTGCAACCTGCCCAACCATGAGGGTTGACAGTTTTGACTGCGTAGCTACTTGTAGTATGATACATAACGCCCAGCAGATCGATTAGCAAGGCAGAATGCCCTTGGCAAAAGCGTCGAGACTTGTCCGTAGCCTCTGATTAAATAAGTCCATCACTGAACAAAAGACGAAGAGAAGATATTCCCCCAGCAGCATGCTCAGACGAGCAGTGCCACCGAACCAAATAAAGGGACTTAAGATTTGACGAATCCATACGCCACGTGCCGCGCCCTCCCCCCCTTTTTCCCCCTCACACATTTATGATGGGCACGTCTCTTCCGAAAATGATAACAAAAAAGAAACCTGGAACGAAAGCTTGCTTGCTTGTGCTTGGTGGTATCACACTCCCCTCCCACTCTAACCGTGGCAGAGTATTATTCAAGACTTAGAAGTACCTAAGTCTTCGTAAACCCGAGGCTCGAAACTCCTGGAAACAAAATGGGGTCATGACGTCGTAAATGCAGTGCACCAATGGCAAAAAGAAAAACCGAATGCTTTTGCTGAAACAGGTGATGGTATTATTCGGGTTTATAACCTGTGACCGGGCACGAAGATGAACAGCACGCACAGTGCTGCATCAACTAGTGCCGTCACGGCTAGAACCACGAGGGAACGCTGGATCAGCAGCTTGCGAACATACGGCTCTCTAATGCGGGTGAACTGCAACGGCGTCAACTCGCTAAAGCCTGCAAGTGCCATGATAGGATCCAGAGAGTACTGATAGGATGCGAGGAAGTAGACGCCAATGGTGAATGGCAAAATTTCCTATAATTCAAGTTAGATAAATATCGAAGTTAGATTTTAAATTTAGTATGGTATACATACCCAGCATCGCTCTAGACGGGAACGGTCGAGGAAGATTAGGTTGAATCCCGTCCAGAAAGCTCCGAACAGAGCGACAAGTCCGATAATCAATCTCGCAATGAGAGTAGGAGGAACTAGATTGCCGAAAGCACGAGCACGTAGGAAACCCGGGAACGCATCTCGCTCCATCGCTTGGAACACATAATCCTTGGCGACGTCGAAAATTTCGGGATCGTCACGGTTTTCTTCCTCGATAGCTTGGGTAATCTCTGCCGCAATGGAACCGTCCAAGGTAATCTCGCGCTCGGCACCAGGGAGCAGGAACGTATAGAGGATCTTTTCCGCAGACGCTCGAATATCACGTCGGGCCACGCTATGCTCAGGTGAATTCGAATCGGTGATCTGATGCGGCGTGCTAGAACTGAGTTGAGTGCTGGCTCGGGCTCTTCGCTCCTGGCTACTAGCCGGGGAGTCGTGGATGCCACCGGGTAAAGGTTGCTCGCGGAGGTAATTAGAAATATGTGCGTCCCGCTCCCTTCCCTGTTCGTCACCAAATCTTGCAGGTCCTGAAAAATCGCCCATTGCTTCCAGGACTCTAGAAGATCGCTTAGACTCCTCCGTCTCTAGGTCAGGTGTGCCCACAAGAACGGACCGCCTAAGCTCCCGAACGTAGTGACGGCAAAGCGACATATGCTGCGCTACGTCTAGCCTGTTTTTCATCAGCAAAATAACCCTTATTATTCCCAAAATGCACCATACCAGAAATCCAAGTAGTCAACAGAACGTTGCTGATCTCGCATGTAGATATAGAAAGAGAACAGATCGACGGGCGGATGTGTGCGACGACATAGCACCTCGAAAAGCGTAGGCAACCGATTTCGTACCGTAGCGTCGGGAGATAGTGACGGCTGATGCGCCTCCTCCAGAGTACCACTGTACGCCATCTTGAATAAGTCTTGCTCGGCAATTGCAAGAACTCGGGATAATTGATAGGAAGGTCAACGCTAAAATGCGTTTGTATAACGATTATGAGCCGAGCTCTCCCTTGAGGGGGAGGCTGCAATCGTGTCTATTGTCGTCGCGTAAAGTACGGTCGGAATGATTATAATAGTAAGATTGATTGAGGCAATTGTCGACGTGCAAACTCATCAGTTATTTGATCCAAATGAATTATGTCGCTTCGGTTTATTGTATACAATCGAAAGGAGTGAAATTGCGCTCGGCGCAGGGTGATGACGACTGTATAGAATTTGTCGAAAGGAGAGAGAGAGCGACGTGGACCGAACGTAGATGTTGGCGTTGGGCGAGAATCCGAAAAATGGAAACTGGGCAAATCCACTAGAAAGGCAGTGTAGGATGATTATCGGCCGTGGTTGCTGGTTGATTTTGCGCCTGGACCACTGTGATTGCTTGAAATTGGAAGTAGCTCGTAACTGTCAAATTAAAGGGCCAGGGGTTGAGAGAACTCGTGGCACAGTAGGTAGTAAATCAGCCACACTGATTCTTACACAAATGACATTAAATAGGTTCACAAAGGATCATTGAAATTTTGTGTGAAGGAATAAAACTTGGAGGAATGGATGTATTTGGCAATTGAAGTCTGCATGCACATATGTCAGCGTAGCAGCCTTGCAGCTTCTAGTTATGATTTGTTGCTATCACGACGGCTGGACGGGAACTATCACCCCTTAGGCATTACTGGTTTTGGTCTAGATTCTTAAGATCAGTGCAGGTGGATTACGTAGATGCAAAGTACATGACCTTAGGTACCTCATAACCCATAAATTCTCTCACAGGCAGTGGATCTCTCTGTTCAGGTCATCCAGTTACACAGATTTCATAAGCCACACCCCACCAGCCTGCAAATACATCACTAGCCACATATAAATCCCACAACCCTAAGTTTGATTGGTTCGGCTAGCGAATTGTTCCTCCTGCCCTCAGTTTCCCACATCAAGGTCTCGAATTTTCAATTTCGCAAAGCTAAACAACATCACGACCGAACTTTTCCGACCAACACCTAGACATCAATCCAGTAAGAATTCCGCGCGCCAATTATTCCCTTCGACTACGTAAATAATTCTAATCACGGTTCCTTATTCAGAAATGTCGTCGAAAGGAAAGAAGCCCGCCACCAAGTCGGCCATCGAGCAGGTCGTGTCCCGCGAGTACACCATCCACCTCCACAAGAGAGTACGTCCACCGCGCATTTGAACCGAGCGCTGTTCGATGCAGAATATTTATCGAAGGACTAAATGCTGATGGATTGAATAGCTGCATGGTGTGACTTTCAAGAAGCGGGCTCCTCGGGCCATCAAGGAGATCAAGGAGTTTGCGCAGAAGGCTATGGTACGGCAAACCACCTACACCATTTACCCACATACATTCTCCCAATCCGATGCACCACACACTTCGCCATAACTACGAGAGATTTTCAACCTAGCTAACTGGCTTTTTAGCAAACCTCCGACGTCCGCCTCGACCCTCAACTGAACAAGAAGGTCTGGGAGCAAGGTGTCAAGGGTGTCCCGTACAGAATCCGTGTCCGAATTAGCCGAAGACGAAACGACGAGGAGGATGCCAAGGAGAAGCTCTACAGCTACGTTCAAGCAGTCAACGTTAAGAACCCCAAGGGTCTGGTGACGGCCGTTGTCGAGGAGTAAGGGAAGGCAAAGGAAAAACATCGTTTCGTTGAGATACCGGCTGGGTTCAAGAAGGGCATGGTTTCGGAGTTACCTTCTGGCTTCATGACATTAAGATAAGATTCACTAGTTGATGAATCAAGAACCGTGAACAATATTTACTTATTTTTGTGACCCTCCCATCCGCTATTTGGAGATGCTATGATAGCATTTACGAATGGTTTTCTCATGTTATACGAGCACATCACGATGCATCAAGACGATATCAATTGTTAGCAATTTGTGCAATACTGCCGCATGTCATGTTAAAAGGAAGCGCTATCTCCGGCCTGGAACCACCTGTAAATGCAATGCATACGAGAAGCCGAGACAGCTGAGCCTCGTTACATCAACCGTGCAAGCACTGACTCCATTCTCCATGTTGGTTGACCCTCAACCACCCAGATATATGAAAGCTTGAGGAACGAAGGGTATAATAAAGACCATCTAATCGTCGTCTACATCGCGGTGACGACCTAGCACTTTCCTCTTGAATTCCTCTGCATCCTTATCCCATAATTCCGCAGCCTCGCCATTTAATGGGGAAGAGCTATAATTCAATTAGATTAGTCAAGCTCCACGAGTTCAATGAAAGACAGCTTACTTGTTCGGCTCTCCGAGAAGACTTTGCAGACTTAGCAGGACGGTCTGAACGTTGTACGCAGCGGTCCACTTGTCCTTTAGAATATCTAGGCAAATGCGGCCGGAGAAGTCTACATTAGGGTGGTAGATAGGCGTCTTGAACAAGACTGTCGGTGCGGCATAGGGATAATTGGTCGGGAAAGAGAAGGATAGCTTGAAGGTAAGACCAGCATATGGAGTATCGTCAGGACCCTCGATCGTCGCGGACCAGGACATCAAGTTTCCATCCGCCGACGGGAAGGCCGAAACACCAGGGGCAGGCGAGGTCATCAACTGCATAAGCTCTGTCTGCAATCTACGGCTTATTAGTACAAGGTATGACCAACGAGCGCAAATTAGAGGCGATCACTACGGCATACCTTTTTGTCACACTCTGTGCATCTGGGCCCTTCCGTGTGCCACCAAGCTTAGCCGCTTGGACACTGCCAGGTGCAGAATTTTGGCTATCTTCGGCTGCGTAATCCATTTTGGCCAACGATTAATCTTGCCCGTTGATAACAAGGTCAAGGGAATTTCCAGGTAGATATTAGAGAATGCGACAGATTGGATAAAGGCCGAGTCAAGCTACTCGATTCGGCAGTATCCTTGATCAATGGATTGCGGTAAGAGAAAAAATAGAAGAAGCGAGTCGAACTGGAATGCAGTGGCTGTTAGCGATGAAAGGTATGAGAGTGCACCACACCCAATTGATAAAAGTTCCAGTAAAAGACAGAAAGAAACTCGAGGTTGAGGAATGCTATTTACGAACCTCTTTGATACTATGTGTCTTAGGAAATGTAACAATAGGAAAATGACGAGATGCAGAATTTAGAATAGAAAAGTAAGTGAGGCAGGATCTACGAAGTAATAATTGTGAATTTGTAAACAACGTTGGCCGCTTTGTCCCCGCCAGCCGAACTCCTATGGCAACCGCGACGGGTCGATGGATCCCTGTTAATGTAGCGCCGGATCGCCGTATCGCCCTTATCTTACGGGGCCAGTGACTCTCCTTTTTACTTTGCTTGTAACCTTAAACCCGAAAAGTCAACCATTAAGGCAGCAGCAACATGACAACAGGGATTTTAATGGCCTCTGTGGGGTGCATTACCCACTAAAAGCCATTTGTAGCCAATGAACAGTGGTTTTCGCGAGACAACTTCAAACAAAAACATCTAAACGCTTCTTGACTCAACCTCTAATTAGTAAATTAGTATTTCAACGCGTCAAGACGCGTTTATAAGTTTATCATGGTAGGTTTTCGATTTTCCTCCTTCTCGAACGTGAATATCAGTCTTATTGGTTTATTATATCCCGTGTTGTTGAACCAGATATCAATAATCCATATTTGATATTCAGTCGCTACATGTTCATGCATGATTCGCTTAACGGTTTATACACTTAATTTTCATCTGAACAAATCATTTCGTTCGAAAGTTACCAAATAGGGGTTATCTTTACTAAAGAAAATGATACAGTCTCAATTAGACCCTCTACCAAATGACCTTCCCTTCCGATTCATATCAAAGACGATAGGAAGAGGAGCATATGCATCGTGAGTTCACTTACACCTTATTCCACCGTCTCCACTCACTCCGATTACTGACTAATACCTCAGAATCAAAAAGGCTATACCTTTAGATGCCCCATCACCAGTCTTTGCGGTCAAGTTAATTCACAAAGGCTACGCAGTTAAACATGGCCGCATCTCAGCTAAACAGATTGCTATGGAAGTGTCCTTACATTCTCACATCGGCCAACACCCGAATATAATTGAATGGTTTGCGACAGGCGAAGACAATATCTGGAGATGGATAGCGATGGAGTATGCCGAAGGAGGCGACCTCTTCGACAAGATTGAGGCAGATGTAGGCGTCACAGAAGATATCGCCCAAGTCTATTTCCACCAACTCATCAGTGGCGTGAGCTTCATGCATTCGAAAGGCGTTGCACATCGAGATCTGAAGCCGGAAAACATATTAATGTCAGATAACGGAAACTTAAAACTAGCAGATTTCGGCATGGCGACAATGTTCGAATACAAGGGCCAGAGAAAGCTCAGCACAACCATGTGCGGCAGTCCACCGTACGTTGCCCCTGAAGTATTAGCAGGCGGCGGAGTAGATAAAAGATCTAGTGAAGTAACCAAATACTCGGCCGAATTGGTGGACATCTGGTCGTGCGGTGTCATCTTGTTCGTCCTCCTCGTGGGAAACACGCCGTGGGATGAGCCAACCTCGCAGAGCTGGGAGTACCAAGAATACAAGAAGACGAACGGCCGAAGTACAGATAGTCTATGGGAACGAATACCTGCAGAGACCCACTCGTTGCTCAGGGGTATGATGAGTATCGAACCGAAGAGGCGATTTACGTTCGCCCAGATACGACAACATCCTTGGTATACCCGCCACAACAAATTCCTGGCCGCAGATGGTCAGATCATCGATCCCATAAATCTAGCAACGAAGATGCTAGAGAACCTACATATAGACTTCAGCCAACAGGCTCCCTCCTCACAACGCCAGTCGCAGTCACAAGATGCTATGGATATAGATGGCGGCTCGTCTCATAAGATATCCTCCACGCAACCAGAAACACCAATCAACGATGTTCTATTCGACTGGGAGAGACCGGTTCTCCGTACCTTAACCGCGTCCTCCACACAGCCTATCTCCCGAGCAGATGCAACATTACCAACGCAGTCTAGTAATTTCTTCGACGCCCTAGCCGAGGAACCCTCCATGAGCCAGTTCTCGCAGACGCGCGGGGTGCCGCTCAGCCTAACACAGCACGCACAGCGCTTCAAGGATATTGTCCCGGCGCATTCATTTACTCGCTTCTTTTCGCATATGCCACCCCAGTTACTTGTCCAGATGCTTAGCGATGCATTGCACAATCTCAACGTGCCACTACCATCGGGACCGCCATACGTCGGCCAAGGTGATCACGTGTCCACTTATAAAGTTAGGACGGTGGACGATCGCAAACAGGGACTTCACGGGGAGATCCTAGTCGACAAGTATTCATTACCAGGGTCGCAGGAGCTACTCGAAGTACGATTCGTCAAGCTCAAAGGTGACCCGCTCGAGTGGAGACGTTTCTTCAAGAAAATAGTGCTGCTATGCAAGGACGGCGTCTTCAAACCGGAGGACTAGAGGGACCGGCCGGTTCACCCAAATATTTGATTTGGGGTTATATAATAGGACGGCCATCTCGGATTAACAGGACGGGACGGAAGGGGGTGGAACAATATCCGGAGTAGGTCTGCTGTATAAATTTTGCGCATAGGGATACGGAAAAAATATATAGCGGTTAATGTTAGGGGGGTTGCTTAATGAAAGACTCGGCTTAGGTATGGCATTTGCTAGGGCTGGTTGCGGCATAGTTTCATTGCATTCCTACATGCTCTCTTGTATGCTAGGGGGCTAGTCGCGTTACTTTTTATGAGATAGTTGCGAGCTTAGTAGGGGATATTCTCGCTAGAGGTGCTAGCCAGGTATGAAGATACGAAATAGGCCTCTTCATACTATATGAATTTATGATTAGTTCAAGCATGGAGTGACCTTTCTTATATAGTATGTGCTAGCCCCCAGCTTAATCTTGATTAATCGGGGGATAATTCTGCAGTTACCTATGGACACTTTGGGAGACGACCTGGAACATTATTCGGGGGTTTCAAGTGCTAATTTATGCTATTCTTTCAGTTTTCTTCTAGTCTCCAGAAGAAGGGATAATGGGGATAGGATTCACGCCCTCAAACAGAACCCTTACACATAAGACCAAATAGCCACATTAACTATTTCTCAAAGTATCATTTTTATGACACTACGTTACTTTAATAGCTCGTCATGCTTAACTTATAGTCCTCCATGCAGTATAAATGAAGTTATCCTTAGGGCTTACTAGACATCACAGAACGAATACTTTCATGTATTATAGGCTCTAGCCTCACTACAGTTTGCCAGCCTGAGACGAAAACATACAGCCAATTCACAATCAAAAACATTAGGAGACATCCATAGTAGCTGTAAAAGCTTTTTTGATCCTATCTAAGGTATGGAATATCTAACTACCTAACGAGATGACGAACACACGGATAGACCACGCGTATTATTGATTAAGTCCTAACTTAGGTAGGTTTCCTGGCAATCCCATCCTGAAACGATTCCTCAACCGCCGCAACACCGAGAACAAACGATACCTGATATCCTCAACCAATAAGGGAGAATATGTAGACTACCAGTTAGGTACCTAAATCCATCCAGGTGGACAATTCGGGTCGTTGTTGTGTGCATTGCGTCCGTTCTGCGGTCGCTGCTGCTGTTGCGGCTGCGGCTGCGTCTGCGTCTGAGTCTGCGTCTGCGGCTGCTGTAGTTGCGGCTCAGTCTGTTCATCATCTAAGCGTTCGTAACCGCCATGCTGATAGCCGAGCCAGCGATCCCAGGCGCTTCGGATAGCGCCTATGCCCCGCTGAAAGAGGCTTCGGGTGGCGTTTCGGCCGCGCTGGAAGGTGTGCCAGCCGTGGGGGTAGCAGTCGTGCCATTGGGTTGCGTTGGTGTATCGGATCACGCCCATGTAGGTGCCGTCGTGGAGGAAGGTTACGCGGTCCATCATTAGAGTGGCTTCATCGGCGGGCTGGGTCACTGTAGGGTGAGGAGGTTAGTTAGTACTTATTGGAGAGGGGTTGTATAGGGGTAGGTGAGTTGGTAAGTGAGTAGGTAGGTATGTGTGTAGGTAGGTAGGACATGAAGGTGTTTATTATTAATCAAGGGTGAGGATTTCATAATAACTTCACTAGGAAGATTTCATTCATGGGAAATGAATCAAAGATGAGAGGGAAGAGATAATTGGCAAATCAACTTACAAGGCAGCTCAAGTTCATCAGCACCAAGAGGGTATTCCATAACCCTTCCGACAGCATCGCCAGTGTTGATGGGTCTTTGGAAGCCCAAGCGGCGCGGCCAAGCCGCACCAAGAGAGCGGTCGTCAGTTCGCACATCCAAGCCGATGTCGTGAACTCCAGCCTGGATAGCCAGCCAAATCTCACGACGTGTGTACACGCGAGAGGTGGCATGCAAAGACGTACAAAAGACGTACGGCGGGATCTGGTTAGCAGGATTCTGACGATTGTACTCTGCGATCATGTCTTCCATCATAGCCGGCTGTCCATTGCCTAGCTGTTCGGTGAACGGATTCTGGTGTTGCTGCGAAGGGCCAGGGTCGTTGCGAGGATCCTGATAGTTAGAGTCACTAGAGACGGGTGGCTTGGTCGGGACAGGAAGGTCGCAAGTAGGGGTCACGGTGACTGGAAGTTCGAGAAAAGCGTTGACCGCTCCGAACTCGCCAACTCCAGAGTCCTGGAGATGAGATGGTGGTTAGTATTCTCCGAATCTCTAAGACAGGAGAGACATTTTTAATAGAGATGCTTTGCGGAGGAAAAATATATCATTCATCAAATTAATAATTTAGAAACTTACCTGCTTAAACAAGACGACGAGATCAACCGTAGCAACAGGCTGGATAGCCGTGATGATGGCGACAGTATTGTCGGCTTCGGGCTGGCTCTTCATCGCCACCGATCCAGAGACATGAAAAGCGACGAATGTCGCCAAGGTGGCAACGAGGGAAGTAAGAGGAAGCATTCTAGATACTAATGTTCGAATAAGACTACTAGAATGAGCGTTGTAGATCTCTCTTGGAAGCTTGGGCGAGAAGCTAGAAATTCCCAAGATTTCGTTGCACTTTGAGAAGTTGTTGCAAACTGGAGAAAAAGAATTTCAAGAGGGAGAGAGAAGATGGTGGGAAATAAATAAGGAACAAATTAGGAAGAGCACCTGGCGAATTTTTTCTGTGCTTAGTCGCTCTCTTGCTCAGCAACCCAATGATATGATGCGATGGTTTGGTATCTGGGGCTCCTTCTCCGCCTGCTCTAAGGTATCTATCTCTTAGGGCCCCCGTGGACGCATATGCGGCTATGAAGACGTTACTAAAGAGGTTGGGGCAGATATGCGGAGCTTGAGGGGGATGCGAGTACACTGGATAGTGACTGAGTATTCCTTGAGACTTCCTAAAGGTCTGCAGGCCTTATGCTATGGTATTTGCTTACAGGGGGAGGGAATATTACTAGCTTCGTCAAGAGAAAGGAGACGACGACGACGACAAGGGTTACAAGGGCGACGACGGCGTGGCTGCTTGTGATCCGTTTTTTAAGGATTTCATATATGCCAACGACGATGTAGCCATTTTCGACGTGACATGGGCCATAGATCCCTTGATGATTCACTGTAAGTTAACATTAAAGGGGCATGTAAAGAAATACAGTGACCGTTTAAGAGAGTTTCTCATTGTGAAAGGGACGCCATTTGTGATCTTGACTGCTTATGGAAATGTATATCTAGCATCTACCATTGCTGAGGAAATAGCCCTTGAGGACTAGACGAGTTCGTATGGCTAAGCTTGTATTTGCTTCCATCTTACCCTATGCTCATTTATGTGGAAATCGTCAAGCTATTGCCGTTTTTAGAGAACGGTCAGATCTGTAAGTAGATAGACTAGGACTGACATTATTCGACGTCATGCTGTACATAAACGTGTTGTAGCCTGTGACGAGTCTGTAGTGAGTGCTGGCGACTGATTATGGCATGATGACGAGAGCTTGTTGAAAGGAAAGGACTTCGTTTATTCTAAGAGAACGACATATTAGGATATGAGTTTTACAGGATCCGTCGGCAGCCTTGGTAACTATGTCTAATAAATATTTATATGACAAGCGTAACCATAATCAAGAGCCTCATTGTTAAGATTAAAATCGAAAGCTATCAATTAGCTCTGCAAGGCGAATGATGTTGGCTTTATTTATACATTCATTTCATAGATCCTACCTAGGTACCTAGTTAGACTTACACGGTACTATCACTGAGGCATGGTGATATGGTACCACAAGTGTGTTGTGGTATTTCTATTAGTGTTGGGCAGTTTGCGTATGACGGTTATGAATACCTTATATGAATAATAACAATCGTTTGATATGGCACACGCTGAAGCCACGTCCATGAGAAGCGCCAGTAGTGTAGTAGGTATTCCATACCAGCCAAGCATAGCTAGTGTACTAAGAACTACAGTGTTAAGAAAATGCGAGTACCTTTTAAGGCTCGTAGTGGTTATGCTGATGAAGTCAAATATGGATTGTGGAAGAAATAGTAAGCATGCTCTACTAGTTTTGTTATCTAAAAGACTGTTCTGGAAGGCCGAGGAGCTGTTCGAACATAAAGGTACAATAGTTAAAGTAAAACATTAAAATAGTATATGTAGTTATATATTCTAAGTAACTAATGAATATAATATTCAACGTTTCAGTAAGGGGGCATATTCTGTTCACTCTCATGAGGATTATTCTAGAAAATATTCGTGGCAATTCATTACGGTGGTTACGACTGTGATAGATAGGTTGGTCTACACCTGAAGGGTATCTGAGATAAATTTATACAAATAGTTACATTTATTATCTGGTGAACAATTATGATAGGAAGGGCAACTAGACTGCTATAGACGTCTTCGGTGTGTGTTGAAGTAGACTGATTGACCTAGGATTTTCAAAACTTTTTTTCTGTTAATTCATTTTGCTTATAGTGCTGAATCTTTATTTGGTTATTTGTATGAAATATTCTCATTATGGTAGCAAGGTTTTCATCAGATTTATCAAATTTAATTCTGCAGCCCCTTTTCTCGGGGAGAAAAAAGAAATAGGGGTAATCTGCTTAGTCATTAAAGACCCATATAAAATTGTTTATCGATAAATTCGGTAGCTATCCGAGCTTTGAGTCTTCCGCCAAACCGATACGTCATGTAAAGCTTCAATTATTTCCATCCTTTTCACCTTTCTGGTTTATCGTCTTTGTCTAATATCTCAAAGTCCACCACACTAAGGTTTCATCTATTCATACTTGCGCGTCCTACTCGTTTCTTAACTATTTTTGCTTTTGTAATACTTGTGAAGCCATAGCAACATTACTCTGACCTCAAACCCAATTCAACGACCAAATATTGTATCAAACGGCTACACCCCTGAGTAAGATCGTCTTGCCGAATATCCTACACCGATGCACATACAAACACCGATACGACAATAACGTTGAAAGCTCAATTGTGGACAAGTTCTTTAAGTAGAACTAGTTAAGAGTAGCTGTTCCGAGAAAGATTTGTTTTATACGCTCAAGGACACATCTCACCAGACATACCTACATACGGCGATTCGCTAAACTAATATGGCCGCAAAAGGAGATTCTGTTCGTGGGGCATCGGGTCGCTCGCCAATGCGCTTCATCTCCGTCGATAACGTCTTACAATATGCTTCCGAAATACCGTCCGGCCAACCACGTGTCCCTCCGCAACGAGGCCTCCGTAGCATTCCCGGTGTACGACGCGTGAGTGGAGGTGGCCTTCCTAATCTTGCGTCGCGCACCGGACAACACAATATGCCATCTCGGACCACTAGAATTAGTGAAAAGCTGGTTCTTTTACCTGAGACAATTGACGATCTAGAAGGACCCGACGAAGAAATAGAAGCTGCTTTTCGAGAGGACGAGACGCGGCCATTGAAGGACGAAGAGCTTGACGTTTTAAGGAAAAGGGGTGGGCTGCGTGGGAAGAGTTATGCCGAACGACTACCCAAAGTTCAAAGAACGGAGAAGCTGTCGAGGCTCACGGCCTATTGTACTGCACAGTCTTTTAAGATGAAGTCGACTTCGGAATTTCTTCGCAAGAAGCACGACGCTAAAACGAAGCTCTACGACGACTGTCTCTATACCGTATACCATCTACCGCTACTACCCGGTATGGACGGTTGCCGTGTGAGGAGTCGGCCGATACTCAAGACCCCCGGTACAGGCAAGACGGTTTTAGATCTCGAAATCGAACGAAGCGAACGAAGAGACGAACATATGGGTTACTACGACGAATATTCGTATAATGAACAAAGCGGAAGTCCTAATCAGGGAAATGGTAGCTACCAGTCTGGATCCTTGGATAGGAACCAGGATACCGAGAGTCACCATTCTCAAGAATACCAATCCCTGAATCCTGTTAATAGACTTGCACCTGATGCTAAGCAATTTGCCGAAATGTTTGTTTTCTCATATGGTGTTGTCGTATTTTGGAACTTCACCGAAGCGCAGGAAAAGGCCATTCTAGCAGATATCACATTTGCAGAGACTGAAAGCGGGACACCGCTGGTCGCGCGACCCCTTGACCAGAGCGATGTCGAAACAGAGGAGTTTCATTTCGAGTACAATGCTGATGTAAAGAGGCCGCGTATTTTCAATGATATGATTACGCTACTACCGCGGTCGGATCATATGGTCAAACTCACCATTAGCCACGCTATTGCACAGAGCACCAAACTCTGCTTCTTTGAAGAGCGCATGTCTGAAACCATGTTAAACGCACAGGATGTACCGAAACGGCTAGCTCTTACTGGAGAGTTGAATATGACAAGGACTGAGATAGTGAAGATTCTTGGCCGCTTGTTTAAGAGTCGTGTCGACATCAACCTCTGTAAGTGATATGAAACCCCGAGAATATTTAATTAAAACTAACGAGTCATGCTAGCATCAAACATTCTTGACGTTCCTAATTTCTTCTGGGACTCCGAACCTACTTTACACCCACTTTATGTTGCTATTCGTGAGTATTTAGAGATTGATCTCCGTACGAAGGTGCTCAATGAACGATGTCGCGTCTTCCTCGACCTTGCCGAAATACTATCAGACTCTGTTGCCGACGCAAAGATGAGCGCCATCACATGGATTGTTATTATTCTCATTATCGTTAGTATTCTCGTCACTGTGACTGAAGTTGGTCTGCGGTTCGGGATGCTCTCTAAAGAGCGAGGTGAAAATAAAGGTGTGTCAAATCCCCAAAACATCCTCGGTGAAGGGTGGATTGCCGTTAGATCTAATGCTACACTCGAGCAACTAAGGCAATGGGGCGTAAATTTGAACGAGGAAGAGAAGGCCGCCGTATGCGGTGCGGATTATATCACAACTACATTTGCGGGTATCTAATTTTCTTACCCGTGGTTTTTTCCTACAGCACATGCATTTCGGAGTGGCGGAAAATAGGCGCAAGGGAGTAAATAATTCTGATACCCATACACAGGGCCTTTGGCGTGTTTGTCTCTTAGCATTTGAAGTATGTCTACACCACTTTTTAATGTGAATTAACAGTATTTTGATAGCTGAGATCGGAAACCCTCACTAATTCCCTGTTTTATCAGGTGCTTCGAATTTATTCTGAATCGTCTATAAATCGTGAGATATTTATAGCATATGCTACTAATTAGATATACAGCTGCTCCTTTCATGGTATGTTCAGTACGTCGTCGACGTTGACTACCTGCCCCGTAGCAATGGAGCGATTCGCGGCGATACCGGTTAGAATGGATAATGCGCCATCGACATGGCTCGCCGCTCGCATATACTCGTCGGTCGTGGGCTCGCCGAAGAGGTCATTAAGAAGTACAGTATCACCACCACCATGAGCGCCAACACCATCTGAAATCTCGATCTCCTGCGGTTTCTCAAATAACTTGCGCAGCGTAATCGTCCGCTTTTCCAATGACCCTTCGGCCGCTTGATCGCCTCCCGAGTTCACATAACTATTCTCCACAACCTCCATCTCTAGACGTCCCCCGGTCCCATTAAAACTCACCCGGAACCCCTCCCACGGGGCATACGCCGTTAGCGAATACGTCATCACAGCGCCATTGCGGTACCGAACGAGCAAGTTCATTGTGTCCTCGATACTAATCCCGTCTCCGAACACGCTCTGGTCCCGGTAATACGCGTCCTCGTGCTCCGCGTCGAGATACATAGCTTTGAGCTGCGGGTGATCCTCCATATGCAAAGCAAACGGATCCTCTCTAGAGTTTCCGTTCCCGTGCGCGCGCGTGTAAAACGCTGATGGCGCGACGCCCCGGAGCTCAGCGTTCTCGCGCCCGTAGAACTTCAGATCGCCTTGCGCGTAGACGGTCTGGGGCCGCGTGCGCAGCCAGAAGTTTACCAGGTCGAAGTGGTGCGTGCTCTTATGCACGAGCAGCCCGCCGCTGTTGCGCTTGTCCCGGTGCCATCGGCGGAAGTAATCCGCGCCGTGCGACGTGTTCAGCATCCACTCGAAGTGCACGCTGGTGACGGTGCCGATGGCGCCGGAGCGCAGCAGCTCGTAGACTTTGGTGTTGTGCGGCGCGTACCGGTAGTTGAAGGTGACGCGCACGCGACGGCCCGGGTTCCGCTCCACGGCGTCGATGATGGCGCGGCAGCGCGGGGCGTCGATCGTCATGGGCTTCTCGGTGACCACGTTGCAGCCGAGGTCGAGCGCTTTGGCGATGTATATGTTGTGCGTGCGGTCGATGGTCGTGACGATGACTTCGTCCGGCTGCGTCTCGCGGATCATGCGCTCGAAGTCGGCGGCGGGGAACGTGGGAACCGCGCCGTGGCCGAAGCTTTCGAGCTTCGTGTTGGCGTAGTTCATGCGTGTCTGGTTCGTGTCGCATATCCCGACGATGCAGGATGTTTTGGCGTAGTCTTGTGCGATGGCCGTGTAGAAGAATATCGCGCGGCCGCCGGTGCCTACTATGGCGTACTTTTTCCGCGAGGGGCGGAGGGGCGCGGTTATGTCGACCATTGTGGTGGTGGTGGTGTCTTCACTCCGAGAGATGTATTAGATAGATAGCAAGATCTCTTGAGTTTTTGGTAGTATGAGAGTTGTTTTTAAGATTAATATGTAAGTTTTAAGCGACGATCTTAACTATGAACGTTTTGCTATTCAAGATAAGAGTCTTTGAAATAGCTATTTGTAGCAGCTTCTATGTTGTTCACCGGCTGCATGAAGAACTTGATATTCCACAAGAGAGGGGATAATCTATCACCACCTCGCTTGAGCCGTTATCGCTGTCGGGAAAATACCCTGCGAAGTACACAGCTGACAGGTTGGAGAAGGTTGGGGTAATGTTTCCACTGCTCCTCCGGAAATCAAGAGTTTATAGCTCGCTATAAGTCTTCTTAGTTGAGACTTGGCAGCTGGGCCGGTCTAGCTAAAGAAGGGATGTCATATAGCGAGCGAGATCTTCTTCTCACATGGCTGTTTCATTATAAAAGTCGCGTTTCTAGACTATTTCTACCTAGCTTTAGTGTAGTAAGTCTACATGTCTCTAGTTCATAGCAAGATTATCTGCCGAGGACGATTAATGGGGTTTAAGCAGCAGCGGGGATAATCCGTTAGCTGGATTTCTTATTTAGCCGTATCTGGGGTTTGTCTCCGCTTCGCGGATGCGGGGATCCTGGGGTCGAACTAACATGCTATAGGAAACGAGTTGTCCTTGTCCAATGACGCGTTAATGGTCTCCATTCTCGGTTATCCGTAGCGGAACCCTTCCAGAGCTAACTGCTGTCTTGGTTTAAGTTGAAAGACGATACAATAGTCGGTTCCGGGTAAACGTGTCAACGCTTGTAGCGCACGGGTAGATAGGGGTTGGCTTTGACGATACTTTGACCTTGATCGTAGTTGGTGATTACGCGTGGAATCTTATATTCCCACCAATGGCGGCTTATGCCGACCTATGCTGACACTTATCAGCTAGATCGTTAAATGTTGTATTTGTTTGTGTTTGATTTCAGATAGCTGTCCCGTTTGATATTCCACTGAATGAGGTTGTCGTAATATTGGTTATGGTGTAACGGTTGATATGCTTATAAGTTCTTGCATGAGTATGAAGAAGAGGAGATTACTCCTGGATCTGGACATATGATAGGTATTAGCATTCAATGTGTAGTCGCCATCTGAAAGAATGGCATGTATTGATGTGTATTGGCATGTGTTGGCATGTGTAGGTATCCCGGAAACACTTACACGCCCAGCCTGCCGATGTTCCTCTAACAAGGATCTCCGCACCCCCAACCTGCCGCCTTCCCAGGTGTCTGGAACCACCCTTCGTATAAGGAGTTATATATGACCACCACCCTTGTCTGAGGAGTGATCACCAGCCTTAAAACTAGCTGTACCCCATCTTCGACGAAAATTATCTTCGTCCTCCCTTATGTAGATGCTGGCCCGTTGAATGCTCTGGTAATAGGTAGACATAGACGACATGGCGGACAATGCGCCGAAACAGGTATCGGCGGCGACTGATGTTGCCGACACCATAACGCCCGCCGAAGAAACCACTGGGAATATCCACGCTGTCAGCTCGCGAGCAGATAAAGCCGCTCAGTTTATCGCCGAGCATGGCGAGGTCACTTTCACGTATGAGGAGGAGCGTGAGGTCCTCCGACGTATCGACCTACGGATTCTCCCTCTCATCCTCGGCGCCTACTTCTTCCAGCAGCTAGACAAGTCTTCCCTTTCGTACGTGTCTATCTTCGGTATTATGGAAGATGCCCATCTTAAGTCGATAGAGTACTCATGGCTTGGATCTGTCCTGTATCTTGCGCAGCTCATCTTCCAGCCTCTGGCTGCTTTTCTGCTGGTGAAGCTTCCTACTGGAAAAGTGATTGGGACGGCAGTTATCTGTTGGGTATGTGGTATAATTATATATTTACTAAAACTTTTTAAACTAATAATGTCTGTTATATAGGGTACCTGTGCTGCAATCATGGCGGCGTGCACTAACTTCGGCTCGCTCCTGGCCATGCGTTTCCTCCTCGGCTCGTTCGAAGCTATGATCGCCCCTTCATGCTTAGCCGTGACACAGATGTGGTGGAGGCGATCTGAGCAAACGCTCCGTGCTTCCTATTGGAATGCTATGAATGGTGTAACATTTATTGTCGGCAGTTTGGTAACGTATGGCCTCGGTCATGTCGTTAGTACCAAGATATATCGCTACCAGACCATCTTTATCTTTTGCGGCGTTCTTACTGTTCTTTTTGGAATTGCCTTTCTCATATTCATGCCCGACTCGCCCATGGAGGCCAAGTATCTGAGCGAGCGCGAGCGTAGCGTTGCCGTCGAACGTTTGCGCGCTAACCAGATGGGTGTCGCGAGTCGTCAATGGAAATGGGATCATGTTATTGAAACGTTTACTGATTTTAAAACATTATTATGGTTTATCCTCATTGTCGCGATATCAATTGCAAGCGGAGGTATTAGCACGTTTGGGAACCTTATCCTCAAAGACTTTGGTTTTACCAGTTTCAATGCAATCCTCTTCAGTATGCCGACGGGAGCAATTCAGGTTGCCATCATCATCGGATCGGCCTGGATCGCTACTAGGATAGGGCGTAAGGGAATTGTCATCACAGGTCTTAGCTGTCTCCCAACAATCGGAACGATCCTCATGTTGACTGTGCCCCGAAACGAGAAGAACAAAGGAGTTCTATTGCTAGGTTACTATCTAGTCCAATGCTTAGGAGCGATTACTCCTATGGTCTATGCATGGTCTGCACAGAATACAGGAGGCGATACTAAGAAAAAGACCAGTTCGGCAATGATGTTTATGGGAATGTGTACAGGTTAGTTAAACGAATGCGCAAAGCTCGCGGCTTTCAGCTCTTTCACCTTCGACTCATCTCTTTGTTATCGAGGATACTTTGTCGCATCATCTAACTCTCAATTAGGAAACGTCATTGGTCCCCTTTTATACAACACAAAGGATGCTCCGTTATACCGCCCTGGTCTTATCGCCAATCTGGTCATGTTTGTCACAGTTGGTATTTTGGGATTGTACGTTACTATGATCCTACGTCCTCATATTCTGCTCCAAGATCTTGCTAACTAATGAAGTAGACTTATTCCGATGTACCTCATGTTCTTGAATAGATGGCATTCTAAGAAAAGAGAGGAGCTCGGGAAGCAGGGCAATATTATCGACGAGTCTATGGTGAGAAGAAAGGACATACAGGGCAGTAAAACCGTCGAGCTTGAGCAGAACGAGCAGGCAACCAGGAACATTGAAGACGACAATGGCTTGAACGATCTGCCAGATCTAAAGAATGAGGATTTTATCTATGTATATTGACCTGGATCTGTAAATTTTCGTTAGATGTCTAGAATATCTATGCATCCTTGCAGAAATTACCTTTTTAGGAGCATATAGAAAAGAAGGAAATATTAGAACTTTGTCAATTAACTTCTTGTTATTCTGATTTAAGTGTATTATAATAACATCGATGGTGATATATCTCATTCTGGTCCCCACTGTCACAGACCAACAGACAGGCGACCACCTTCGAGAACCAAGAAGGTGGAATATCAATCGACCAATAACGGATAAACTCTAGAAAAATTGGTCAGGTTGATCAGGACAACCTCTACCAGATCAACAAGATCAAGGACGTTGATCTGAGTTACCTTATCTAGATCAATAGGATCAAACTCATTGAAAAGGAAGGGAGGATATTCTATATAAACCACAATATTCTCTATGTCTAGCCATTAATTCTACAGCTATCAATATAAGCCTATTATCCAATACATACTACGGGAAAGGACTCCGACCCTTACTGATGAACATTTAAGAACTATTTATTTACCACCTTGACTCGTACTATTATTGTTAACCTAAAATTAAGACCTACCCAGAACTATACCTTAACGTATCAAAGTATAGGTTCGTCACACCCACACAATGATAATCGATTAAAAACAAGCCCTTTATCTAATAAGATATTTTTATACCATCATTTGTCCTCATTATCATTGTTGAGTATCGATTTGTAAAGGAGAAAATAGAAGTACAATAGGTTACATTGTAAGATAATCTAATTGTATCTATTATGGTTTGTTTACTTGTGCCTGGCTTGCTGTTACCACAAAGATGTAATATCTGGATAAAAGTAAACCTAGGCCCACGACTTGTAGAATTTATAGGAATAATTCATAGTCTTTCCTCAATCGCATTATTAAAGTATACGAATACCAGATCACACTGCGTGGCAGGCACCACATCTTACTGGGGACTTTCGATCTCAACTTAATACTAATAAAGTTCACTTCAGCTATAACTAAGAAATATCTGGTATCGGGACACGTATCTAGAAGATAGGTGTAAGAAAAAAAATAGAAAAAGAAGAAAGGATAAATTAGCAAAAATGTGTTACGTCTACATAGTACGTAAATATATCTGCAACCACCAGGAGATCTCCCCAGACGCGCAACAATGCGGCTTTTGCCTATTCGACCCGGGGGTATGCAGCTCGAAAGACTTAGGGCGATACCGCGTTTGCTATTTCACAGCAAACGAGTACTGCGGGCGGTGCCAGGGCGTCGCCAGCAGCATGGCTAATCACGCAGGGCAATGGAAGGCTGGCGCTCGGCGGCCTCAGGCCTCGATGAAAGAGAGACATCACCAGAGTGGACTAGTAAAACAACTGAGGGAGGGCTCGGAAACGCCGGGTAATGGACCTAACCCTAGACGTCTGAGCCATCTTAACAACATGATACAGCGGAACTTAAAGGCAGCGCTCCAGCGCGGCGACACATACGTGCCTCAGACATACGCTGATATATTGAGGTACATTGAGTCCCTTCCGCGGTGGCTCAACCGCAAAGGGCTGATTGCCTTGATGGAGCCCTGGTTCGCGCAGATGTTTGACGAGGAGCATCAGAATAGCCTACGTCCCACGCTTAAAGCCATGAATTGCGAGGGCATACTTGAGAATGTCATGATTTGGACACGGGGTTGATTTACCAACGGGGTATCGAGGTACATGTGAGGTTGTTGTGCTCATGAATAATTAGTATGGAAATAAAATTGGTCTGGGTAAATGTTTAATAGCAATAATCAGGTTGGCATAGCATAGGAGTTGGATAGTCTGTCAAAATGTTATCTATAATATAAAGATACGCCAAGTTATAATATATTAAGACGTAGATATATAGAAGGAGAGTTGATTGAAATTGAATGTTAAACTTAACATAGTTTATTGAGTGATTACTTCGTATTCTTGGATTTATGGCTATGGGATATAGAAATACTACTTTACTAAAGAAGTGTCTAGGACAAAGTTGAAGTGTGTACACATACGTTACAAACGCGCAATGTGTTGAAGGGACTGACCTAATTTATACCTAACCCCAATGCCTTTGACAGATCAAATGATACCCTGGACTGATGTAACCTACAATAAATCAAGTCTAGGTAAACTTGACGAAAGTAAATAAGCTCAATTTATATTAACAGTTCCACAGTAATTAGATTTAAAGTAACTAAAGCGAGAATGAGAAATTACACGTACCAGTTAGAAATACTGCAATGATAGAAAAATTAATATAAAATATTTTTCAGTAGTGTAATGGTATGTTCGACAATATCTTTGTGTGTAGAGAGTTACTACGCATACAGGAAAGGCTACAGGCCTCTAAGGAGCCACTTCACCTAGTATCTGGTATACAATCACAGGTATACTATTTGACTGGTCGGGGCAAAGATTTAACGGTACAAAGTGAGGAATAATGAGAGAATATATTCAAATAAGCTTTCAGTTGACTGTAGAATACCTAGAGGTGTTATTCCGCGATGTATTGATGAAGAGATATTGAAAGAGTAATAATAAAATGGACAGTCGGTGTTCTCTTGTCCGCTTTGTCCATTGGCGACACTTTAATTGATAAATGACCTCCGAATGCATCCTGTTAACTAACAACAAAGCGTCTCTCTCAACTACCTATATATCTACCTAGGTGTCCTCGCGCTAAATTTCCGCTTGCAGACGAGAGAATCGACCTTGACAAAACAAAGAAGGGGGAAAACATAAGTGGCATGCATAACTGATAAGTTGGCGGAAATATATATTGATACTCACTCAAGTATATACATCGGATTTATTCCAAGTTACAAGCAATAACCTAGGTATTTTTCAGTTCAGACAAAATCAGGTTCAACCACTCCTTTTTACGACCATTAAATAAAAATATGTCTCAGCTAGAACATGGGAGACGGAGGAGACGGGGGGGACGGACACCACCGGCACCACCCCCAAAAGGGGGACCTAGAAGAAACCCTGAAAGAGAGGCTAAAGAGGATAAAAAAGTCAAGGAAAGATTTCTCGGGGGTGATCCGAACAAACCAACCATGCGATTAGCTAGGACCAGTGTAATTGATGTATATCCACCAAGGCCAGACAAGATTACTTACAGGGAAAAACGATGGGTTAAAAACAAAGCTATAGGCAATTTACCCTCTGAATGGGAAATAAGCCCAAGAGTATTAAGAGGGATGGAGGCACTCAACTTACTCCGTAAGCAACTTCTTACAGCCTTTTTTTCGTAGCCCAATACATACCTCCTACACTTCCAATGCGAAATCCAGTTACTAATAAAGAATATTAGAGTCTAGTCGTGATATGCCAATAGGACAAAACTGTTTAGATATTTGCTTAGAGCAGTTTAAGACATACCTGGCACCCTCTGTTGAGGAAGACATCACAATAATGCCAGCGACTAGGGGTATTTTCGGTCTTAATGATGAAGCGTGGACTAAATGGGAAACAGAACAGCTGGAGGCAAAGCCAGAAGTCAGAGACAGGTTTATGGCTATTCGTAAAACGCCGTATACTTTCTGGCCGATAGATGCCGGTGGGGACAGTAGTAATCCTCGCTGGATGGTAGCTGTTCTTTACGCAGTGCCGAGTTGGGATAAAGAAGACCCTAAAAGTACCAAACCCATTGAGAATCCCTACGACCGGATTAAAGAGATGGCCGTCGTAGACCCTTCGTGGAATGTTGACGACGGAGAAACAGCCGATCAAATTGTATTCAATAGGATCATCACTATCGTGGAAGAAATAGGCATGGAAGTGGAGTCGTGGATTGAAAATCCGGTGCAGATATGGATTCCCCCACAGAATCCACCTGGCATGGCTAAGAATGACGAACATTACGATGGATTTAGCTCCGGTTTACGTGCCTTCAGCAACATCAAAGAAATAATCGATCGTATAACGTGGGCTTATAGTAAAAGGCCTAAGAGATATGAGTATGACGCTGTGTGGGGTGATCTAACTGGCTTTTTTAATCCCGAACGCGTGCGTATGGAGATGATCGGGTTAGCATCAATGTCCGTGAACGAGGACATGAATTACCGCACACGGGTAGCCATAGAGCCGATCTTAAAACTATTCTATGGGATAGAGGAAAAAGAAGTCCAGCCTCGGGCTTTGGCCCCTTTCGATTCATCGTACTATCCTGAATGGAATTCAAGTGAACCCGGATATACTGAAAGTGGAGACCACCGCGCTTGGACTTCGGACGAGTTGCATCAACGTCTTATAGAGGCAGGCCGTGTAGAGGGCAAAGAGGGGAATATTAGTCAAGTAGGAGACACTGATAGAGAGGATATAGAGGACGAGGGCCAACCGGAAGAACCAGATGAAGAGAACCAACCAGAGGAACCAGATGAAGGGAACCAACCGGAAGAACCAGATGACGAGAACCAACCGGAAGAACCAGATGAAGGGAACCAACCGGAGGAACCATATGACGAAGGCCAACCGGAGGAACCATATGAGGAGGAGGAGGACCAACCGGAAGAACCGTATGAGGAGGAGGAGGACCAACCGGAAGAACCAGATGAGGAGGAGGAGGACCAGGAGGGAACGAGAGAACCAGAAGATAGTACGGGGGAAAATATTCAGCCAGTGGATACAAGTTCTGTTGCTCCTACTCCTATTCGTGCTCCTGTTGGTCCTACTCCTACCCCTACTCCGTCCAAACATCATGAATCTGAGCTCGGAACCATACATGAACAGTCAACTCCTGACACTGGCTCTGGCTCTGATTCATCATTGCCTACTGTTCAAGAAATCTTTAATACTCCACCAGTGAAAAAGCGAGCAAAAAAGCTGGCGAAGACTTCTGACACTGGCTCTGAGGACTTTGATACCCCACCGGTAAAAAAGCGAGCAAAAAAGCTGGTGAAGACTTCTGACACTGGCTCTGAGGACTTTAATACTCCACCGGTGACAAAAGAGGTGAAAAAGCGACCAAAAAAGCTGGTGAATAAACAGGCGAAGGAAGATTCTGGTGACAAATCTGGCCCTAAAACACCCGGCGATGTGAGTGACTTCGATGATAGTTCCATTGATTTAGGCTCGAATACTAGAATCGCAATAAAGACAAATACTAGTGATGGAGGTAAAGGAGGTAAAGGGGATAGAGGAGGTAAAACAGGAAGAGGAGGTAAAGGAGGAAAAGAAGTTAAAAAAGAAGTTAAAAAAAGAGAAGGAGGTAGAGGCAGAGGTAGAGGAAGTAGAGGAGGTAGAGGAAGTAGAGGAGGTAGAGGAAGTAGAGGAGGTAGAGGAGGTAAAGGAGGTAGAGGAGGTAAAGGAGGTAGAGGAGGTAAAGGAAAGGCAGAAGAAGAGAAAGAAGGAGAGATTATAGAGATAGTAACGATAGAAGAACGGACCGCGACAAACTCTGGCACCGCTGTAACCCCAATTCCTCAGCCTGCACCAGCAGGAGAAGAATCGGCATCGGACAATTCGGATGTCGACTCAGCTCGTAAGAGGAGGACTCCTGGTGATGAGAGTTCTCCCGAAGCGCCGCCAATGAAGAGGACCAGGAGGTGATCAGTCCTTAGTTTTAGATTAAGATAGCGGTGATGGAATTTATGGATGTCTGGTGGGTTTGTAGAGTTAAGGTGGAGTGAATTTAAGGTGTACTATCATCATGAGGCAATTTGGTATATACAGGGGTTAGGTAGATTCTTAGGTATTTTCCTCTAGTTTTTATTAGTTTAAATTGTTCTATTTTCAATTAACGAAGTTTTTATCTAAATAATATCTTAAGTGTAGATGTTATCTTGGGCAGTTACACAGCCTTGGGCCTTGGCTCCTGTCTTGATGAACGTCAACTTGTAATATGTACATAGGTACTATGCAACTCCTTATATGTGCCTTCTTAAACATTGTGTCTATATGTACCTAGGTACATACCAATAATGCTTCTTGCCATTCCGTCAAAGAGGTGCTATTAACTTTATTTGAGTCAATTCTTTCTGTGCCGTGGTACGTGCTTGCCTTCTATGTATAAGAAAACATCACTATTGTCGACGGCATAATTGGGTATCTATGTACCTATGTAGTCGAACAATTTAAAACGGATACCTGTTTAATAGTTTTAGAGGGTAGGTGCCTAGGACTTTTCAATAAGTGAAATCTTTGTGTAACTTGCTCAAATGGAAACTTGGAAGTTACACTGAGCATATTTTTTATATATGCACTTCCCTAAACTGGTCCTTAGACTTTCACTAGAGAAATATATAAACATCTCCATTATCCCATATTTCAGATTCATCTCTTTTAAATAACTACCTTTCGTTCTGTTTACTTACAATTTACCTTGAAACATTCATTTACGCCACTCATTAACCCGATCTTAACAACAATTCAAACCCATAAACAACTTACCCATACATTCCATCATGAAGACCGTCATCTTTCTTCTGATTGGAGCCTTGGGTGCTGTTAGCGCTGCTGTTGCCGGCGTGAAGGCCATGGCCACGGTAACAAGCCCGTCTCCGCTTAATATACGGATGGTTCATGCTGACAGTTCTACGTAGGATACAGCTGGTAACCTTAACGTTACCTCTATTCTCCCCGAGGGATACACTGCTATTCCATTTTCCATGGATGTTTCTCTTGAACCCGGCGGTGGGGTGATGACTTTCAATGGTACAGTTACGGTATGTTATGTTCATGCTGATGCTTTAATATGGATTTTGGGTTTAATATCCTGCAGGAGATCCTCGCTCAGATCCAGAGCATCAAGCCTGACTTCACCTGGGAAAATTACAAATCTGCGACACCTTCGACTGGAGTTTCAAAGTACAAGCGAACTAAGGTAAGCATCAACAAGATCTTCAGAAAACCTTTGATATTGACATATATCAATAGTCTAAGATCCTTTGCAACATCCCCAACCACGACCACGGACTACGATATGTTCTTTTGTCCGGTTATGACTTCTTGATGAATATCCACGCCGACTGCCAGATTGATGCAGGACCCAAGAAGTGCGCTATGCTCTATTGTATGTTCGGCACCTCAATTTGGATGTGCAATGACAACAGTACTCCTATCAGTCGAGATTGCGGCTACATCGCCACCTATGTCTTAGATATCATTGGCACCGAAGACTGCCAGGGTCGGGGCAGTAGGGGAGCTACGACTTGGACTCAAGGACAGGAGTTCGACACAGACAACTTCAATGTCATTGCCGGTGGCGGTGGCTGTTCGTAATAGTCACGATAGTTGGGTTGTGCTTGCCGAGGCAGGTGGCCAACAACTTTGCTTTTACGATATTACGGCACTGAAGTAATTTCTTTGGCCTTCGTCGCTAAGCTTTAAGTTGAGATGATAATTGAAAGATAAGGGGTTAAATTACTGTGAGGGAATGTAAAATGATCTCTCTTATGTACGCTACTAGCTTAGCTACTTTCGCTCGTTGGTTTCTACTAGAGCCTATGTCCGCAAAATAGAGACTTGATATCGAGTAAAATATGAATCTTCCTGGCAGTGCTCTATCGTAAAATATGCCCAATAGAAAATAATTCTTTATGGATCCTCATTTTAAGCTGTCTAGATTTTCATTAGGATCACTTCGATGTGTCTATGGATCTAGTATGGATGGATCTGGTCATCAATTAAACACCATTTTGCTTTTTTACAGCGTTATATTCAGCGCGCATTGTAGAATTTCTATCTAAATGTTCTGAAATTTTTTAAACAGATGATTCCTTCAAAATAAACGTATAGTGTGTTAGGAGAGGGACTCGCTAACTTTGAAGAATTAGGTAATTAGGTACCTATGGATTCTTGTAATTAGTACTTGAAGTATATATCTGCACCGTATCCTACCTCGATGGTTATGGAACTGAAAAAGCTTAGCTCCAATCGCCTCACTAACCATGAGTCTCTAAGGTGTTTTAATAATCAGAGATGAGTTGTGTAAAGCGGTATAGAATATCCATCCAAAGATAGGATGAACGAATCACGATGCGCTTTTGGTACAAACGCATGTAGCTCCTCGTTTATAATTACAAGGGTAATCTCAGGGACATCCTATACGTGACAGTTATTTTTCATCTGGCATTGTGCATCAATTACCCAGCGCTTAATGGGTTATACCTAAGTACCTAAGCGTGTCTCGTTACGCGTCTAACAACCTTCATTCAGTAAGAGTAACATATTATTACTTTTTCTTAAAATAGATACATTCGTATGTATACTATCAGATAAAAGCCTGTTAAGGCCTACGAGCGTCACTTGAAAAGATGACTGTCTAGCACTGACACTACGTGTCGCGACGCGGGTATAACTTTAGGAGGTAGGTAGTTATCGGCAAGCCAAGTGGCGTGACTGGACGAGCATGCGTGCGCAGGTAACACAGCGGTAACGAGCGCGGCAGCAACTGGAACCAATACATACATACCTGATCCAAAATGGACATTAGGAGAATAAGTTTCTCTACATCCCCTCGCTCCCCCTCGCTCCCGACACCAGCACCGTACGAGGAGAGATATTTCTCCGGTCCTCAAGACACCGGGGATAATCCCCGAGGAGACAGGGCCCTGACCATGTGGAATGCGCGGGTTCACTTGTGCGACGACGTGCAAGCAAGTAGCCTGCGCGGATGGGTGGCTGCTGGCGATGCGGCTCGGTGCACCCTAACCGGTGCGACGCTAGGTAGGTATGTAATGATTTATTAATCAGCGACGTCTGGCTAGGCGCGATGGAAGTAAGTTACATAGGCCGTAACGTTCCAGAATTCTTCCATGTTTATCTTTCCGCTTCGTCTTGACAGGGAGAAGGGGGGGGACCAAGCTCGTCTGCCGGATGTCGGGCCGCTGGATACAGACATTTTGAGATGTAACCGGCGAACTGAGGTCAGTTTATACGCGCGTAAAAATTGCGCCCTGGAAATATGTGGAATGCTGAATAATAGAGGTATACAAGAGGTGTTAGTGTTGGGTTGCACTTTGGCTGTGTTTAGAAATTCCGTTGTGTTTTATGCTGTGCTCGTGCAGAGCCTCAAATTACATAATATTGGTAATCTGGATTACTTTATAGTTACATATATGCAATAGTAGCATCTTACCCACGTGACTGATGGTGACAGATGATACCGTGTGTAAACAAGCTAAAATGAATAAACACACTGTACGTGCCTAACCTTCAACTTCGATTAGGTACCTAACTTTTGGTACTCATCGCCTCAATTCGATGGCTTAGCACTAGGCGTTTAAGTCATCATCTCTCTTCTTAACCTTATATTTATTTTTTATAGTCTACTTCAAACAACTATTTCATTTGAACCCTTTATTTAACCTTGGGAGATTTTCGGATTTTCAACATGGCGCAGGCCTCAAAATGGCATCCGTTGCCGAAATTTCCAAATCTTCCTGCTCTCATGATCTCTCTGCAGTCTGCTTCTTCATCGTACACACTTCACGTTACCGATCTCGCCAATGTGTGGGTAGAAAGCCTTGACCGAAAAGGTATAATATTGCGAAGCCTGCAAGAGAACACAAGCATAGATTTGAGTGACGGCGATCCTAATCAGTGGACCGTCTTTTTCTCTAAGCTTGACGCAGCCTTCGACCCTACGTCACCAGATCACCATACGACCAGCCTGAGCATATCCGCCTCGACGGCAGGTACTACCTCTGGAGGTGGTCTGGCTCTTCACGTCACATGCGTGTTACCCGAGCCGCTCAAGCCGCTCAAATGGCCTGTCTACTTGACAAAATGTCCACCTGTTGGCCTCGCCTCAGAGCTCGTCTTACCTCTCATCCAAGCCCACCGTGTACGTACGTTGGAGGTCCAGGATCTCATAATGAGGCTTAAGGAAAAAGACGCTGTCATCACAAAGCTTGTTGACAAGCTAGAAGCCAACAAGGTCGGCTTAGAGTATGTCTTTAATTCTCTATCCACTAAGCGTAAGCCTTCCCGTGCGGTTGCCGAGGAGAAGGTCAAAGGCCTGGCAGCTTTTAATGCATCTGAATGGAAGTCGAGTATCACTTCGAGCCAGGAGCCTCCCCAGGACCTGTCGTCACTGATTCACGAGGTTTTTGCGGAGACAGGGTTGCATAATAGTGTAAATGCAGAGATCTTTGCCTCCAGTCAGCTTAATGACTGGTGGACGAAGCTGGGTTCGGGCTCAACTACCGCTATCAAAACCCGGAAGGAAACCATTAGGCAGTCACGAGAGACCCCTCCTCTAGATGCTAAGACAAGTAGGGAGAGGGATGATGACGACTTTCAAGTGCAGGCCACTCCCCCCCATCTACAGTCAATTAGGCGAAAATATGATTACTCCAGAGCCGCTGGTGATACTACAGATGACGACAATAGCCCTGTAGAGATTCCCGATAGCCATCCCACTGTGGCGCAAGACAAGCCTCGTTCCCGAATCGGTGCAGTTGGCGGCAAGAAGTCTGGCAAAGACAACTCACCTAGCCAATCTTCTCGCACTGTCCCTATTGATGATGACGAGACCCCATCAGAGTCTGACACAGAACCGGTGCTACCAGAACCCCAAAGACGGCAAAATACCCGGCTGGGGACCATTGGGAAATCCAGAGAGCCATCGTCTCCAGCAAAGTCCTCATCTCCTGTACCACCACCACCACCACCCAAGGACGGAGATGAAACGGCATCTGGCTCGGATTCCGAGGATGACGCCGGACCATCCAAAGCCCCGTCTCGTTCACCTATCCCAACTGGGAGGAAGAGTGTTGGACTGGGGCGAATAGGCGGTAAGCCTAAGGCTCGAGTGACACCAGAGCCGTCTGAGGAACCGAATGTAACATCCCCCGGGATAAGGAGCCCTCAAGCCACTACAAGCCCGGCAAGGCCCGCGAGTCGAAAGATTGGGACCATCGGGACGAAATTTGATGCAGATAGCAAGAGACACCGCCCGTCATCGCCTGTCACAGCACCAGAGCCCGAAACGGAAGAGCAGAGGACAGAGCGCAGGCGGGCGGAATTAGCGAAAGAGCTTGAACGTAAGGCAGCTGCACCGACCAAGAAGAAGAGGAGGTTTTGATTCACATTCCGGTGGCTACACCAGCAGCATTTGAAATCGATACCCAATATTGTTATCGCGTTAAGATTGGACACCATATGTTCAGTGAACATACTACCTAGAACCACTCTGTTACATATTTGTTCAAAGGATTTCTATTTTTTCAGACATATATAATATTGCAAACTTGCTAGCGCCTATGAATATACCCCTAAATATAACTCGCAGCGTAACTCATCCACTCAAACCTTCAGGAGGATCACACCCTAGAGCGTATTATGAAGACATCTTATCACAAGTGGGTTGAATGAGGAACGGAAGAAGCGGAAAGTCAACAGAATTTGGCTTTATACAACAAATCTACAAAGTCGTATCAAGAATGAAAAATCTACCGTTTTTCAAACCGAGAGCAGCATATTAATTTACTCTCTCCATGCTCTTACTATCCCTTAACTACAAACAACGTAACTCTCTCTTCCGGCGCGACATAAACACCAGAATGAAAAAAAAGACTCACTATAGCGAACCTATTGTAAAGGACCTGGCTAGACCAGTTGCGGTAGGTGAAGTTAACCAATATAGACATATGCAGTCTGAAGTTACGTAGATATTATCTTGTCACGCTTTACCGACGCAAGATCACTATACAGAAAGCAAGGGGATGCAAAATTCCCCGCGAATTGCGAGAATGTGGCATAGCATCTGCAATATGAATATGTCGAAAATGGCTCTTCATTTCCTAAATAGCTCCATTTGCATCAAGATCGCCTTGACAGTTAACCTTCATAGCATGATTGCGACGACTAGCTACTGGACCCTACGGTTCTTGGGCGGGGAAGCAAGTCTTTTTCTTCCCTCACGTTCTACGACATACGTAGAAGGCTATGATGCTAGCTAGAAATATGCATCCACTTCACGATCTTGAAAGGAGGTAGTATGAAATCCAAATCCATGTCACAAAAAACTAATAACTGCCTGTCTGTGGAACGACCAGACGCCGTGTAACTTTTCTAGCCCTTCCTAGACTGTGAGCAATTCTCTCCGCCCAGTCATCCTACTACCAGATCAATATAGGTTCTTCCTGAGCCATGCCATTAGTTTACTACCTTGAGGTAGAATACTTTGCAAGTCTGCTGATACTTTGACAATCTAGTACCGGTAAAATCGACAACATTGTTGCTGCGTACCGTGTAAAATGAGGGAAATTGAGGCACTCTGAATTACCAATGCCCTAGTTGACGTTCCACAAGACTAGTCCTCTCGAACAACAGTATCCACACGTATCTCTGTGGTGCATTGAGATGGGGGACGGATAGACAGGCGTTATCTGAGAGGAAAGGAGTCGTTGTACACAGCACTGCCCCTGACCGCTCCCGTTCTTCTTTTGCGCCCCGAAACGTGAACAACCTCTCTTTTGCCACTTTTCTGCTACGGCTTCACGGTACAGATCTACTGTAGAGGCTTTGAGTTAGGGGTATCGCTGTCTCGGGACTTTTCGGTAGCCAGCAAGCCAGTTAGACGACATTCTCATTATGGGTAGTGAGGTGCACCTAAATACCACGTATGTGCGACAAGGCACCGATCCTGGTGTTTCCTCCGCCTCTTTGCCGTACGTTTGGGATCAGGCAGTGCTATGCTATAGGGATACTCATGCTACATGCTGTCAAAATCGCGCACGGGCTGGGAACTTCGCTGTTAGGCTACCTGCCTAGCCTTATAATAGGGAACCCGCAACATCTACCCGTTCCCCTAGGGCTAAACAGGGCGTTTTGAAAGCCGAACGCGCGAGACTAATAATCCAAATACTAGGCTATGCCGTCTCCGCCGGTAGGCTAGAACGGATTTTCAGTGATAAGTTACCTATCAATCAGGACCGGGACCTACTGTTATTGTGCCTTGGTGGGTCGGTATCTCTGCCGATGATACACGAGGATGTCCAGATGTAATAACTGCTATCCTGGCCTAGGCATCCCGGACTGTTGAAAGTATTGTACACCCCTAATTAGATACCCGAATCCCCGTCGGGGTTTAATACGTACGTATGCTGTGGATAACGGCGATGATGATGATGATGACGATGATGCACTTATTCATATAAGCCCCCAATGTTCAGGCATATCAGGTATTGTACCTAGATTTAGCATTTCTGCATACAATTATAAGGAGAGTGTGACAAACCTATCCAGCCACGTGGCCGTCATGAAGAAAGCATTGTTGGGAGTAAATTATGTAGTTATCGCCATACAACCAACTGGGAATGTTTAGGGGCTTAAAAAGTTAGGCTAGACGCTAAGTAGGTCCCTGGAATTTCTAATAGCGAGGTATAAGAGCCTATCCTAGCATCCCCAGAGCCGCTAGATCGGTGCTTTTAGTACCATGCCATATACAACCCACCAGGCTCCTCCTTACATAGGTAAGTCGTAATTACATACAGGGAGGACGTACAGGAGCTCGCTAGGAAAGCCGGGTAAACGTACCTAGCCTAAGGTACTTGGTTAGTTAGCAGTCAGCCACCAGCAATTAGCCCTCGCAGGCCCCCCTCGTGCACACTAAGCCACCCTATGCGGCTCCTAAGACGGTATCACCTTCATAAGGACCCAATTACTGGGCTGAGATCGAGGGGGAGAGCAACTGGTGGAACGAATAAGACCGGCGACCAAGAGGATTTTGAGCAAATATAGTAGAGGCTAATGAATACATAACGTGAATTTCTACACTTCTACTTTCCCTTGTTACACTGCAGAAGGGTACATTGCAAAATGAGGATAGCTTTTGCCAATAGCCTCTTTTCATCTCTTGTAGGGGTACGAAAGAAGAGGATGGGGTAAAGAAAGGGGGCGGTGGTGCAAGCTCCGTTGCATGGCGAAAATATGGAGGCTCTGCGGATAAGGGCTAGCTACTACCATCGGGGACTCAGGGGTGAGAGTTGATCATCCGTACTGGTATGCCATTATGAAAGTGATCTCTTAACTACTAAGACGTACTCTTCATTCCATAAACATTCTAGTCCCGTCCGTACTAGCATAGCTTAGGTACGTAGCTATAACCCACTGACTTGTCGGTACATTACCCGCGAAGATCATTTAAATCATCTAATATAATTGTAGAGATGTCGCTTTCGGATTCGGCTTATATTATAGCGAGTGAAATCAAGAGTGCATTAAGTAACTCATAACACGTTAGCGCGATAGCCACCTCGTATTCCATGAGACTTAGTTGGAAGTCTTGCCTATTAACTAACGTAAACAATAGGAAACTACAGATATCTGGTAGCTATCTCCAGCGAGTAGAAAGACAATTCATGAGAAGTTCTGGGAACACTGAGAGCCGCATAGCTCTCTCCCTAGAGGCTAATTGTATAACCCACATGGCAGACTACTACTATTCCTAATTCTCCAGGCTAAGTTAGCTATGACCAGGTGTTCGGCAACCCCCTAGATATACGTATATTTTAGCGTCACAAGCCACCATATATGAGACGATCAAGATTTATTAGTAGCAAGGTTTAAAAGACCATTAATTAGAAGACGACTTTGTATAAGTGGTAGTGTCAAATTTGATATTATAATTACCTAGGTAGTCTAGACAATAAGGACTAGTGATTAAATATATCAAGTTTACAATGTTCATCTATATACCAATAGAAATAAACATTAGGGACGATCCACCCGCGAATTACAGCGAGGAGAAAGGTTAGATCTTAAAGACCGAAGAATACGCCGAACTAGAAGTAAAGTAGCTTAGTAGGACATATATCACACAATTTCCCCGTAGTTCTCAGATAGTTCTTATCTCACACCAACAGCGAAGGCGCTCCGCGTATCCATAGCGGTCTTCCGAGCAAATAAGCAAGCTAATACGTGCCTAACGGTTCCCTTTGCGGCTCTATCTAGGGCTTATCATATATCCCCTACAGCACGAATGGCCTATCTGCTGCAGAAGAAGAAATATTGGGAAAATTAGCATGAAAATACCCAGTTACCGGTGTGGCGCCAGAGCTCACCGGTCGACTAGACACATTAGACTACCTATAACCTTGGGTTACGGAAGCTAACACTGGTTATTCAGGTCCCCAGGCTCCGGGTTGGAGATATAGCGTTGTTTTCTATTATCCTTACAGATCTGGTTTAGAATTTTAATATTTGGGTACCCCGTACTCTAGCCGACTACTAATACGGCACGATCTCGTACCTCGGCAAGGCGGACGCGATACTCATTGCGGTAACCTATGCGCAAGAAACTGGTTTCCGAAGCCAGCAATAAAGTAAGCCAAGACGCCTAAGAGATAGCCGACGGAAGATGTCTGCGACATATCGTCTGAGAAGACGCCACATAGAAAAAAAAAGAGGGCGGCGAACTAGGTAAGACTGGGGGGAGAGGAGGATAGAACTGTTCGCATCTGTCTTACGCTAGACGGGCCACGACAGATGTCATCGAGGGCTGATGTTACGTGAGTGATCGCGGAATTTACATGTCAAAAAAGCATGGTTCTACAGCAGTTCCACCCGAGGTCTAATATTGCAGAGAGCATATGTAGGTAAGTAAGTAAGTAAGTATATGCATCTTTTCTCCATGGAATACCTGCATATCTATGTGCCAGTGACGGCGAATACACGTAGGGATGCAGGTAATACACTAAATACTCCGGTCTCGTTAGGACAGAACCGGAAACGTTGCATACGGCCTTATACTCTGCCTCTTAGGCGGCTTATAATCTACCTAGGTAGTTAGTTACTCATGTCCGATGATGTTTTTTTTTTCTCATGCACCGGAATACCCTCACGCCATTTCGACGCGTGTGTATAAGTGGATAAAAATGTTAGATCGAGATGCATATTTCTGGCCCTAATGTACCACTACGACGGTACTCCGAAGTCTAGGCCTGTACATAGTAAGTTAGGTAGGTAGGTACCTAGGGTTGCGTTGCGTTGCGTCGCGTCGCGAACGGCGGGAGATAGTTTCTAGAAGATCCAACAACAGCCTTAAGATGGATCCCTTCGAAAAATCCGGAATAGAACAAG